GCCAGGGGAGTGGGAGAGGGAGAAGCAGGCTTCCTGCCAAGCCTGGAGCCTGAGGTGGGGCTCAATCCCAGTCATGACCTGAGCCAAAGGCAGAAACTTAATGACTTAGCCACCCAGGCGCCATGTTGTAATATTTTTGGATGGTTACTTTTAAATGATTCTTAGAAGTATTTCATAGAAATTTTAATTAAAAAAAAGTAAAGATGTATAGCACCTGTTGAGATTATCTCATTCAGAAAAGACTTTTTGCTTGCCACTATGTTATAGCCACTGCATGAAGTTGAAGATCTTAATGGGGGGAAGAATTGCCTTTGGGGAACTTAGAGCCTTCTGGGAGCTAGAGAGGCAGCTCTTATATTTGAGCTTGCATTTTTTTTTTTTGAACATACACAGTAGATCATTTATTATACAATCACATTTTTTAACAAAAGTAAAGATAAATTACAACTTTAAGCTACAAATTACACAGGTATTGCAATGAAATGCATAGGTGGTAAGGCTCACTTTGGATTCATCCCAAGAACAGAAAAATGAACTTACTTTTTCTTAAAGTGAAAACTAAGCAGTTCCTTAACTTTACATTATTATGTCCTCACAAGTTCACCTTTCCATCAATATCCTTCTCTAGAAAAGAGATTGAGAGCTCATTGTCAAGGTAGAGCAATATTGTCCAGCAACATACATCTCCACTGTCAAGGGCTACTTGTATTTTAAGTTCCCCAATGTACTTTATTTATTTATTTATTTATTTAGCTTTTTAAAAATATTTATTTATTTTTTATTTCTTTTCAGCATAACAGTATTCATTCTTTTTGCACCACACCCAGTGCTCCATGCAATACGTGCCCTCCTTAATACCCACCACCTGGCTCCCCCAACCTCCCACCCCTCGCCCCTTCAGAGTCCATAGTTGTTTTTCAGAGTCCATAGTCTCTCATGGTTCACCTCCCCTTCCAATTTCCCTCAACTCCCTTCTCCTCTCCATCTCCCCATGTCCTCCATGCTATTTGTTATGCTCCACAAATAAGTGAAACCATATAATTGACTCTCTCTGCTTGACTTATTTCACTCAGCATAATCTCTTCCAGTCCTGTCCATGAGCTTGCATTTTTTTGTCCTCTTTTTTTTAATTGTGTTATGTTAGTTACTATACAATACATCATTAGTGTTTTTTTTTTAAAATAAACATATATTTTTTTCCCTTGGAGTACAGGTCTGTGAATCGCCAGGTTTACACACTTCACAGCACTCACCATAGACATCATTAGTGTTTGATGTAGTATTCCACAGTTCATTGTTTACATATAACACCCAGTGCTGCATGCAATACGTTCCCAACTTAATACCTGCCACCAGGCTCACCCATTCCCCCCACCCCTCTCCCCTCTAAACCTCTGAGTTTCTCAGTCTGGGCTGTTTAGTTTTGGAACTAGACAAATTTGACAGTTGCAAATTTTACAAGTTTTTGTCTATTATATTGCTTGAAAAAGAAGATTTCAGAAAATAGGTTAATTAAACCAAAGGCCTGTGTGTAAAATAGTGAAATTATTTTTATATATGACTTTAAATATAGAGAATAACTGTTTTATTTAAACTCATGTTAAGGACATATTAACTCTTTTATGTTTGGTGTTCTTTAAGCAAATAAGATTAAATTATACAAAAGTTCTACTCATTTATTTTTCAGCTCACCTCAAGAAATCTCTTTATGTGCACAAGTAACTCATCAGAAGGCTGAGGAGATATACAGATATATTCACTATGTATTTGATGTGCAGATATTACCAGATGGTCTTAACCAAGGTAGACTAAAATCTGATGCATGATCATACTGCTCAGGTTTGGTTATGAAAAAGAACTCTTGCAATACTGAATGCACTTCAATAATCATTATTGTGGTTTGTGGTGATCAGTTTAAAATATATAAAAGTATAGTTTCATATCTATTTTATATTGTGTACATTTTTATTTATATAGATTATAATTATTTTAAAAGAAAACCTGATATTCAGTAATCATTTTGATTAGCTAGATTATGAAACTTATTTATTGAATAAATAAGGTTTACTGAAGGTGCTATTAAGAAAGGAAAAGCTTGAGATAGAGATGTATTTTAGAAAATTTCCAGAGATTATAGCACTGTACTTGCCATTTGTTAGCATAATAGGTTGAGGTGTCTGACTGCTGCCAACTTAATGGTCATAAATAATTTTCCTATATATAAATGATAATATCATAGAGAATATTTTAAATGTCCTGAGTCTATCTACATATTGGGTAAGATGTGAATGGTAGCTGTATCATGAGATAAGTGCTCCAGTTACTAGGAGAGATGAAAATTTAACTGAATATGATTATCTTATCAAAAGTGTCCTAATCAAGTATAGTCAAATCCTGCTAGTATGAATTCCAACCTACACTGCTTTTTTTGTTGTTGAAATATCATATTCAACGAAGTGGTGTATTGGCTTAGATTTGGGAAACTGGTTAGTATTAGATGAGCTGTTGAATGTGGACTTCACTGTGCCCATAATAGTGTCTGTGATGCTATTAATATTTTAGGATGTCTCCATGTTTTTATCTGCAATATCTGAGGCCCTCCTAGTCAGTCCTTAACTATGGATCCCCCTCTCCCCCCATGCCCCCCATTTAGAGTCTTTTATTCTCTGGTTGCCTCATTGTTTTCTTGTTACCCTGCAGAGTAGGTGAATTAACCTCACAGTTGAGTTCTGCTTGCCTTACACCAGGCAGGGACTTCAGAGTTCACCTAATTCAAATTTCTTTTCTCTTTTCTTATCAGGTGGAAATAAGGCCCACAAACAAGTGACTTATTCAAGGTTACTGGGAAATCTAGAACCAGAACCCAGGAACTAGAGACAGGTTCCGACCCCCACCTCCCCCCCACTAAAAAGTTACTCTTAATTGTGAGCTTAGCTTCTTTGTGGTAGTATAAATTCTTAATTCTACTTAGAGCAGCAGATTTCATAGTTCTACTGTTCAATAATTCTGTTGAAGTGAGAAATTCTAGAAGTTACTGGCTCATGTGCAGGCATCGATTTATTTTTCTCTCAGGCTCAAATTTACCCTTTGGTATCTTGCTATAATGGGCTGGACTTTTTTGAACATTTCTCCCTACAGTGGGCATGATTTAAGCTTTATCAGTAGAAGGAAGAAAGGGGCTTCTTTCTGGCTCCAGTTTGGTGTTCTGCTGTTGCTTACTCCTGCCACCTGTTGTCAGCGGTGCAGGTGGGTGGGGACATTTGGTGGTACCATGCCCTAGCTGCATGCCAGAAGCATGCAGTTCCTCAACAACTTCCCACTGACCTGGGAATGATGACCACCTTGCAGCATCTCCCATGCAGACACCAGTGTGCTCAAATTCTTTGTGTCCAACCACCAGACAAAATATTTTATTAATTAACCTGGTGTGAGGGAGACAACCTAGAGGATTTTATTTATTTATGCTTGCTGTGTACAGAGCTCTATCCATATTTAAGCTGCAGTAGTCTTCTTTATACTTTCATTGGTAGCACTTAACTCTCAGCCCTACTGATTATTAATTCATCTTGAAGCCTACTTTTAAGTCTCCTTTGGAGGTTACTTTAAGGCTTACTAGCTTATCTTATGACCTGATGGAAAGAAATGGGACTACTGCCAGGTACCTGGCAGGTGGGATACAGTAAAGTAGACTAGGAAGGACACTGAATGAGTTCTAGCAGGACAAAGGGAATTGGGGGAGGGGGGAAGGCCACACTTTTTGGTGTTAAGTCTGTGCTATGTCAAAATTATCCTTTTGTTTCCCATTATGAAATTTAAGTACCCTCCAACTCCTTAAAAACACTATCCATTAACATTAAACAGCATGGTATTATACCAAATATTGGCAATTTAAGTAATAAAACTATTTCACTAAGATAATCCCTTCATTTGTTCCATTCTACATCTAAGTCTTTGTGGCAGAAACAATTATGAACTCAGTCTAATATCTCAGCAATATTCTTTTCAAATCTTGTGTTTCCAAAAGTTCAATAGTTATATAACTGATTGTTACTGACTAAATTCTTAAGAAACAAGAAAATATATTTTTTACTAAAAGTTCTGAGAATTTTTGAGGCAACAAGCTGAACCAGTAACAAAGTGCATATTTATTTACTTTCTATGATCCAGTAATCAAACAATAACAACCAAAATACAAATGTTATAAAACCAAACCAAGTTTATTTGAACAATCTAACTGGAGAAAAAGGGTAAGTGAATATATACTATGACCACAGGAAAAATATTCTATGTCAAATTTCAAAATAGAGTGGCAAAATGAGCTAATGTTTATTTCTAAAGGAACTATCTGAAAAGAAAATGTTTACTATAACATGGTATATTAACTTCTTACAATTTAGTTCAACTACTTGAATGTCTGCCTAATCCAGTCTTTTTGAGACCAAATGTAAACCATGTCTGCATATGTAAATAAGGCGTAACGCAACAAAATTTGTTCTCTGATACTACCTAATAAAATACCGAAAAAGCAATAAGTTAAATTTATATAGGTTTCATAGGTACGGTAATCACAAGTTTTAAGAAAAAAAAAAAAACAGGAGAAAGAGTGTCACGTTAGTTTCAACAACATGTAATTTAAACATTAGATCAATTCTGGCTTGTATACCAAGTGATAACAAATGCTAACTCAGACATTTTCATGTACCCAGTATCCAGTACCCAGCAGTACAACCTACTTTTCATTCTCCCTCCCCAACCCTATCCCTAAAGGGTAGCAATATTTTCTTGGAAGCTTTTAAAAAATCTGTTTGGAACATGATTTTCTTAAAGTAAGCAGACTTGGATGCTTAAGCGAGACTTAATCTAGAATTTTTTTTAAGATTTTATTTATTTGACAGAGATCACAAGTAGGCAGAGAGGCAAGCAGAGAGAGAAGGGGGAGAAGCAGGCCCCCTGCCGAGCAGAGAGCCCGACGCGGGTCTTAACCCCAGGACCCTGTGATCATGACCCGAGCCGAAGGCAGAGGCTCTAACCCCTGAGCCACCCAGGTACCCCTAGAATATTTTAATATTGCAGAAATTGACAAATATCTATACAAGCAAAACAACTGTCCTTATATTTTAGTAACCTGCCGCAATGAGCAATATTTACAGGAGGATGTTTTACTCTGAATACAAACTCCTAAAACCTTCCACAATTTCATATGAAGGTATATTATAAGGGAAATACATGTATTCCAAAAGAAGATACAAATTATCTGCTTCTTGATAAAAATCCTGGAAATATTTTCTCATTTTTACTATGCAGAATCAGAATTTGAAAAATAATAATCTTTGTCTTCTTCATCTAAAGACTCCATAGCATTAGTGAAAAGTTTTCCAATACCAGAATTTTCTCCTAATTCTGTAAAAAGAAGTTTAATAAAGATTAATATACTTCTAAAAGTAATTTCAAAGAAACTGAAAAGAACTGAGAAATTGAATAGTTTAAGTCTGGCCCATTTGAGAGCAATTAATTTCATGTACCATGTTAATAAAGAGGCTATCTTATAATAGATTAAGCTACAAAAGAAAAATAAATTACCTTTGTTAAACAGGGTTTCTTTCTTTGATGTTGGAGTTAAAAAATCAGTTTCAACCTGCAAGAGAGTTTATATTAATAGTAAATAGTACCTTCTGTGAATTCTGCCTCAAATATAGACAAAATAAGCATGCTTCATCCCAAGTACCTTGAACACATGCCTATAATGATACCTAATCACATTATAATTATCTGTGAAATGTCTAATTTTAAGTTGAATTTATCTGGGGCAAGAATACTTATTCAGTGTTTTTCCCATTGCTGGCAAACATGACTTATAAGAAAATATTACAAACTAATGCTGCAGAGGTGACGGGATAGTCTGTGGGCCTCTGGACAGTTGCCAAAATCTAAGTACTCAATCCATTACATTACACTAGCAAAATTTAAATTCTTGTCTAAAATGGTAACTTATATGACAAATTTTAAATGTATAATACATACTTATTACATCAATGACTTTTAAACTTTTGGCCATGGCTGCCTATCTTTAAAAAATGAAAAGGAATAGGATAGAAAATATGACAGGGTATATCCACTGTACTAAACGTAAATATAGTTCAAACTTTTCAGATACAAACCCATGATCAGATTGTGACATAAATGTACTTTTTCTTGTGAAATGAGTCAAAAACACTATTCTATCATTTAGCTCTCAAAATCATTCAAGGACACTAAACCCATGATTCCCACATCAATGATAATCATACGTGAATAAAATGAGATTAGAAAGGCCAAATAGCTTGTCTTATTATAAAGCTGGTATGGGAAGTCAAATCTTGAAATCAGAATTTTTAACACTAAATCCTTTGCTCTTTCTGTCCTCACACTAGCTACAAAATACTAGTCTGTGAAAAAATAGGACTAAATCACAAGGATATTATTATATTTCAGTAGATTGCTCCCATTATGACCCATTAAGAAGAAAAGAAGTCCAGTACTGGTTAGGATGATATCAGAAATACAAAGAAATAAAAACTCTTAATGGGAAGGGTCCTTATAGATTTATCCATGTGAACAGACTAAGTGGGTTAAGATCTTGCTACTACTCAGTATGGTCCATGGACAGCAACATTGGCATTATATCTGAAGCCTGTTAGAAATGCAGAAATCTCAAATCTCAAATCTACTGGATCCGAATCTGTTTAAGATCTCTTAAGTGACTCTTGGCCACATTTGAGTTTGTGAAACAGTTGTCAAAACAACCCAACTTTTCACTGGTGAAACAGAGACTAGAAGCCAGCCAAGTCTTTCTCCCTATGATGATTCCAGATCCTTTGCAACAAACCACCATTTCATTCTCTGGTCTCAGGAATGTAGGACTGGAAAAAGGAAATCTAAGAATCGTTGAGTCTGTCTGCACCCTCAATACTGGAGATTTCTTTTAAAGAATTTGGTCTCCAGGCTGATTTTAAGTATCTACCATTTCCTGTGGACAAAGGAAACCCATAGAGATTGGATAGGATTATGTAATCCCAATGTTTAGTTTACAAACTCTGAGAAGAATTATACTCTAGAGCAAGTGTGCAATATAAATATTTCAACATGGGTGAGGGAGGAAGAAAGTGCTATAATCTGGTCAGAAGGAATATACAATCAGGAGACAAGGTGGTTCTTCATTGTACCTCCATAAATAATATTCTCTTAGAGTAACTACTTTGAGGGCAAGAACTTTTACATATAACTCCCCACAGTTTGCCATATATTATAGTTGTTCCATAAAGGTGATGAATAAATGAAGAATAAATAAACTTACTTTTTTCTTGATATTGCCCCAGACAATGCCACCTTTACTTCTATGGTTTTTTTGCATACGAAAGACATATTTATCACAATCATTCCTGTTTGAATACAAAATTTTAAGTCAACATTAACTATCATACTTGATACTCTCCACAGCTTGAATAGCAATTGACAAAATTAAAATGTGTTTTGATCTTTAAAAAGTACATTTTCTGGGGAAAAGTGTATCTTCTTGGGAAGTATATATATATTTTTTCTGGGAAACAAAAGTAAGAATAAACTATTGGGACTACATCAAAATAACCAGCTTCTGCACAGAAAAGGAAACAATCAACAAAATTAAAAAGCAACCCACGGAAGAGGAGAAGATATCTGCAAGTGACACAGCTGATAAAGGGTTAGTATCCAAAATATATAAAGAACTTCTGCAACTCAACACCCAAAAAAGAAATAATCCAATTAAAAAACAGGCAGAAGACATGAATAGACAGTTCCCCAATGACATCCAGATGGCCAACAAACACATGAAAAAAATGCTCAACATGACTGATCATCATGAAAATTCAAATCAAAAGTACAATGAGATATCACCTCACACCTGTCAGAATGAGTTAGATCAACACAATAAGTATTGGTGGGGATGTGGAGAAAGGGGGAACTTTGTGCACTGTTGGTGGGAATGCAAACTGGTACAGCCACTGTGAAAAATAGTACAGAGGTTCCACAAAAAGTTAAAAATAGAGCTACTCTATGATCCAGCTATGGCACTACTGGGTGTTTATCCAAAGAATACAAAAATATTAATTCAAAGGGATACTGCACTGCAATGTTTAGAGCAACATCACCTACAATAGCCAAATCATAGAAACAGCCCAAGTATCCATCAATTGATGAATAAAGAAAATGTGGCCTATATATAAAATTGAATATAACTTAGCCATAAAAAAGATTAAAATCTCCATTTGCAACAACATGGATGGAGCCAGAAAGCATGTTAAGCAAAGTAAGAGAAAGACAAATAACCATGTGATTTCACTCATACTTGGAATTTAGGAAACAAAAGAGATGAACTGGGGGGTGGGGTGGGGAAAGGCAAACCAGGAAACAGATCTTAACTACAGAGAACAAACTGATGGTTACCAGAAGGGAGGTAAATGGGGGAGGGATGGGCTAAATGGGTGATGGGGACTAAGGAGCATGCTTGTGATAAGCACTGGGTGTCGTATGGAAGTACTGAATCACTATACTGTACACCTGAAACTAATATTAATCTGTATGTTAGCCAACTAGAGTTTAAATAAAAACTTAAAAACAGGAAAAGTGTATTTCTCTTTTCCATTCCTTTTTTTTTTTTTTTTTTAAAGATTTATTTATTTGACAGAGGGAAAGCACAAGTAGGCAGAGGGAGGGAAGGAGAGAGAGAGAAGCAGGCTCCCTGCTGAACAGAGAGCCCGATGCGGGGCTCGATTCCAGGACCCTGAGACACTGACCTGAGCCGAAGGCAGAGGCTTAACCCACTGAGCCATACAGGTGCCCCTGTCTTTTCCATTAAGACAACAGTTTACTAATGGAAATGGACAAAATGCTTCAACCTAACATTTTAAAGGAAACACTGAGTAAGAATATTCTAGGAAATTATGGTTTTGCTTATTGCTCATTGTCCCATTTGTGCTCTTTCCAATCATTATCTTGCTCTCTTTTCCAAAATTCACTGAGATGACTTGTCCCTGGACTCCCTTTAAGACCTCTCACTCCTTTCTACTGTTCATTTCCTTCCCTATCCAGATTGAATCTTATAGTTAGCCACTTTAAGGATATACCTGGTGATGAAATTCCTCAATTTATAGCTTCCAACTAAATATTGAGTCGTTTCTTTTTAGTTTATTTTTCCCCTTCTCATTCTTAGCAAATACTTGGCTCAATTTACAGACACAAACTGAACCTAAACAGATTGGCTGTTCCCATTTCTCTCTACAGTTTGTAGTCTTGCTTATGACAGTAAATACCAACTGAACACCAATTCTAATTCTCTCTCTTGAGTTCAAGATCCTTTATGATCAATTATCCTTTCCTTTATGATAATCTGGAAGCAACCATAAAGCTATGACATGTTGAAATTTCTAAATATATGACTGTATTAAGGTATTAATGTGAACCACACACACTGCTGTATAGCTAGTGAATAAGCCTGGCCAGCTGTTCAGGATCAGCATCCCGTGAGCCTGCTGTCCTGTACAAAAAAGTCACTTCTGAAGTGATAAAAACTGTTTCATTATTTAAAATAAAAAGGAAGCCAACTATTAGAGATGGTGAGTCAAGACAGTGTAGAGGCCTAGGAAACTCATTTTTTCAAAGTTTTGGGAAATATATTCATGATATTAATGAGTCCACCATGTGTTCCATTGGGGGGGAAAAAAGATGTATTGCCATCATTGTAAAAGTGATAAAGAAAAACAAACAACAAAACCCCAAAACCAAAACCCATTCAGTGAGGGATAATGGCTAGTGATGTTTTTAGTAAAAAAATTTCCTCTCTGAATATGTTATGCAAATTGGGATACTGTTTATAATCTATAATCAACTGAACATTATTCTTTGTTGTTAAAAATTCCTTGAAGGTTGGGGTGCCTGGGTGGCTCAGTGGGTTAAAGCCTCTGCCTTTGGCTCAGGTCATGATCTCAGGGTCCTGGGATCAAGCCCTGCATCGGGCTCTCTGCTCAGTGGGGAGCCTGCTTCCCACCCCTACCACCTGCCTCTCAGCCTACTTCTGATCTCTGTCAAATAAATAAATAAAATCTTAAAAAAAAATTCTTTGAAGGCATGATTTTTAATTGTTACATATTATTCTATTATATGGACAAATTCTAATTTCTTAACTTTATTGGACATTTAGGTCATTTCCATATTTTCAGTATTGTTTCATAATGAACATCTTTGTTCATACAGATGTACATATATACTTCCCCAAATACATTTCCTTATAAAATGACTAACAAAATTCAAGGGCCAAAGGGATAAATATTTTGAAATTTTTGATGATTTGGACAAAGTACTTACCAAAAACTTTGTCCAAAATTATACTCTCAATATACTTTCACTTGCAATGAATACCAAATCAAAAATAAACCAAAAATAATTTGTGAATTGCTGGGGGAAAATTATGTTTTTACTAAATAAATGCAAATTAAAATTTCACTAAGCTTCAAGAGAGGTCTGAATACTTTTTTTTCATAGTCATTATTATTTGGCTTCTGCCTCAAAACCATGGAAATTACTTTTCATAAAATCAGCACTGTCCTGCTTGATTGTCAAATGGAATGGCTTATTTTCAGGCCTCTTATTTATTACTTTCCATCTTTTCTCTGTGTTATTGAATTGTTGGTCACCCCTGATTTTTCTTAATTTTATTTATATTTCAAGTAGTTCCTGTATTCACATAGTTCAAAATTCAAAGTTTCCCTCTTATTCTCATCTCCAAGTGATCTTAGTTCCTTTTTGTAGGGATCATTAATGTTTTCAGTTTCTTATATATTCTTCTAGATAAATTTAATAAAAGGAAAGCAATTACATATATATGTATACACACACACATATATGCACATACAACATATGCAAGTACACACACAGCCAAATAATTCACTGCATCTAACTTTTTTCACTTAATATATCTTGAACATTTTACCATAATAGTACCTAAAGAATATCTTCATTAATTTCTATAGCTATATAATGTACCAGAGTTTATCTGACTAGAATTTGAGTTGCTTCTAGTCTTTTGCTATTATAAACAATACTCTAATAAGCTGTGCATTCACTATTTGAGAAGCAGGACTGATAGGTCAAAGAGCATATGTATTCATAATTTTGACAAATACTGAAAAACTGCTTCTTAGAGACACTATACTAATTTACCCTCTCACTAGTAATGCATGAGAATGGCTTTCCTTTCCTCTTAATTTTTAGGAGTGCTGCATTAGAAAAATTAGCCTTTTCCTTTGATGAATTCCAATTCCATATATTCTTTTGACAGATCACTGTTTATATCTTTTTTCTCCACTGTTTATCTTTTGATTGCTTGCGGTAGTTGGTAGGGGGAAAACTGTTTACCTGGTTGACTTTATGATTCTTTTTGTTAGTGTCTTCTGAGTCTTGCATCATAGTTTGAAAATACTTTTACTAATCAATGATTATCAAATAATCCTGCAAGGTTTCTTAAGGTATATTTTATAGTGTAATATGTTATGCAAAACTTTGATCCATTTGGAATTTTCCTGCTGTAAAGTGTGAGCTGTGTCCCTATACTCTCCCTACTTGTTCATCCTTGACTTTTAAGAACTATTCTTTCTTGATTTTTTTCAATGATAACTCTTCTTATTACTGACATCTACTATCCAACTCATCAAATTTTAAATGCTGATGCAGAGAATTACAGTATCATATGCCTATTTACCTATTTATAGAGGCTAGCATGCCAGGACTGACATGTTGACACTGAGGAGTTTTTGCCAATGGAAAGACAACTGATGATGGAGTTGTTGGATTTTTATCCATACTTGGCAGAATATCATCCTCTTCTGCACTGTCCTGGAGACTTGGCAACTAGAAAACAAATATTTATTACCAGCCAGCAGACAACCCTAAAAATGGCATTTCTCATTATCACTAAATGTTTTTGGGTGGGCTAATAAGTTGTTTTCCTCCTTAAATTTTCCAGCTGAGACAACATATTAGTGGTTACAGAACAGTGCCTTGGCCTTTAAAAAATTTTGGTTCTATTGTGTTAAACAGAGACAATGACGCCTATTTCTAAAAGTTGTGTAAAGACCAGGAGTCAGCAAATGTTTCCTGTAAAGGGTCAGACAGTATGTATTTTAGGCTTTGTGGACCTCACAGTCTCTGTGCCAAATACTCAACTCTGCTGTTGTAGCATGAAAGGGGACATAGCTGAGTAAACAATGAACATGTCTGTGTTCTAATAAAGTTTTTTGTTTCTAAAAAATGTGGCCTGTCAGATTTGACCCATGGGTCATGGTTTGCTTACCTCTGTGTAAACAGAACAAAATAGAACTAATTCATTGATTATTATGCTTGTCATTTAATAGGAATTCAAGCAATATTAAACTTCTGTGTATATATATTTCCAATAAACAATTCAATCCTTCATTAAGATTTTACCTTCTGTTACATTAAAACCTTAGAGAAACCTGAAATGATGGTAGAATTATATAAAGGATATAACCCCTAAAGGACCATGGCTGTTATGTAGGAAACACAGTAAGAGCCTCAGATGGCTCCTTTAAAATACTTTCCTTTATTTGTGTAGGCTAAAAGACCCCAGAAAATGATGTTACTAAATTCTTAAAGCATTGTGTAGCTTTTTAGTATTGGAGATGATGTAACAATATTAAGAAATGAGTAAATTAAAAAAAAAAAAAAGTAAATTTAAAAATTACCCCTGAAGTTTAGCTCACTAAAACAAAACAACTCTTTGAATTTTTACACTTCAATCAGTTGTCTACATCTATCCATTTTTGCATTAATCTTAATACTCTTTAACATTTAGATTTACATTCAAGACATAGTCTCAAATTTGCAATTAATATTTATATTGTATTTGTTTATAAGGAGCATCCTTACACACTCTCTCTCTCTCTCTCTATATATATATATAGCTTCCAGTTTGCTACTGTAAAGATAAACCTGCCATGAATATCTTTGTCAAGATTTTTGGCTTCGGGGTGCCTGGGTGGCTCAGTTGGTTGAGCATCTGCCTTTAGCTTGGGTCATGATCTCAAGGTCCTGGGATTGAGTCCCACGCTGGACTCTCTGCTCAGTGGGGAGGCTGGCTCTCCCTCTCTGCTCTCCCTCTCTCAAATAAATAAAATCTTAAAAAAAATAGATTTTTGGCTTCTTTTGAATTTCTTAGGATAAATTCCAATGAATACAATTAATCTAATGGTTCTTTAACAAGACCATGATGCTTTCCAAAAGGTATGATTCATTTTACCTCCACTGATGTAGGGCTACATCATTATCTCCACTGCTTTTGTTAGTGGATATTTTAAGTCATTTTTACAAAAGATTCTGTAACTTAGAATATATACATATACTTAGTTTTCTTTTGATTGTAAGCTAATATAACCACCTCCCCAAGTAGTCTTTTGAAATTTTTTCATGCCCACTTTTTCCCTGCAATCTTGACATTTTGTTTATAATTTTTAAACATTTTTTAAATAAACATATAATGTATTATCAGCCCCAGGGGTACAGGTCTGTGAATCATCAGGTTTACACACTTCACAGCACTCACCATAGCACATACCCTCCCCAATTTGACATGTTTTTTTTTAAAGATTATATTTATCTGAGAGAGAGAGAAACAGCAAACATGAGTGGGGGGAGGGGCAGAGGGAGAGGGAGAAGCAGATGCCCCACTGAGCAGGGAGCCTGACTCAGGGCTGGATCCCAGGACCTTGAGATCATGACCTGAGCCAAAGTCAGACATTTAACTTAACTGACTAAGCAACCCAGGCACCCCTTGACAAATTTTATTAATTTTAGTAACACCTGAATAAATTATAAACACTGGCATTATATTTTGTAAATATTTTTCCCAATTGCTGAAGTTTTTATTTTTTTATTTTTATTTTTTTAAAGATTTTATTTATTTATTTGACAGAGAGATAGACAGCACAAGGAGGCAGAGCAGCAGGCAGAGGGAGAGGGAAAAGCAGTCTCCTCGCTGAGCAGGGAGCCCGACATGGGGCTGGATCCCAGGACCTGGGATCATGACCTAAACCAAAGGCAGTGCCTTAACTGACTGAGCCACCCAGGTGCCCCCAACTACTGAAGTTTTTAATTATGATTTTTCATACTATAAAAATTCATTTATACAAATGTCAAATTTGTGTGCCATTAAATCCCTCCACTGTATTTACTATACAGTACATAATAATTTTATGTTTGCCTCATTGCATATGAAATTTTAAATATATACATTTAGCCTATTTTAACATTTCTGGGTTTTCAGTTTGGCTCTATACCCATTACCTTTGAAACTCACTGAAGTGTAGAGTCTGGACACTGATGAGAAGAGCCTGTACTGGCAGACTGCTTCCTATACTATACTTTGAGTCATATCTGTGGACATGTCCTTGGCCTAAATATTAGGGATGAACACTAACCATATACAAAAATGAAAAATAGGGGCGCCTGGGTGACTCAGTGGGTTAGCCTCTGCCTTCGGCTCAGTTCATGATCCTCGGGTCTTGGGATTGAGCCCCGCATCGGACTCTCTGCCTGGCAGGGAGCCTGCTTCCTCCTCTCTCTCTGCCTGCCTGTGATCTCTGTCTGTCAAATAAATAAATAAAATCTTTAAAAAAAAAAAAAAAGATGTAAAAAGTCAATATAAAGAAAGCAATGATTTCATGCACTTAAGACACTTACCAGTACTCTTTGATTCTGCAAAGGTGTTGTACTGAAAAAATCATCATGATCATCTTTTGGCAACTGTTCCAGAAAATCCCTCATTTGCTGCTTCCTTTTAAGAGTTCCCACTTTGGCAGTTATCTTAATAATTTGCTTCTTATCAGCATCAACTATCTTGCCTTAGGAGTCAGCAAAACATTTTGATAAGGATTTGGTCATTTACAGTAACTGCTCTAAAGTTAACAGACTTTGTAAAATCTAAATTGTATATTTATATTAAGTAAATGCATCCTCTATTAATACATCTCCTATATAACAGAAGATTCTTTCTGTATTGGGATCTATGCAATATAATTAGCCCATAGAATACTCATGAAGAAACTACATAAGATCAGCCAGGGTGAGGTGGAAAAGGTCTTTACCCAGTGGGAAAGAAAGGTTACCTCCTACATTCCCTTTGCTGAATGCCTAATTTATTGATTTTGCAAAAAATATAAACCTTATTGAATTAAGGCAGGGATAGAATATTTCCAAAGCTTAGTATAAGCTATGTCATAAACCTTGTGCAGGAATGTGTACTCCTGGGGAATATGAAAAATAAATTTAATTTGAATTTTATTATTAATTTCTAGGGGGCCCTAACCAAGTGGCCTCAAATCAGACTCTTAGAAAAATAAACCAGATACTGAAATCTCTGGATATAACTGGAGATTTTCTAGAATAAATTCAAAGCATAAGGCTGCTAAGGCTACTATTGATGGGATTAACTATCTACATAAGACTTAAAAAAAATTCAACAGATGATCTTTAGAATTCTTTCCAGGTATAAAATTTGGAGAAAATACCTGTAAGACGACAATACAAAGATATTGTCTTTGTAATATATCTAGTGAGTGACTAGAAATCAATACTGAGAACTAGGAAAAAACAGTTTACAAAGGTTACCATTTTGGCCTTTGGGACTGACTGTTTTTTTCTTAGTGACAGGTTTCTGGGATCCTTTTTCTCTGGGATCTTCCATGTATTTCCTCTGGCATTCTTCAGCAGATCGAGAACCTACAGCCATAGCTACATCTGACCAGAAACCAGGTTTGTGCTTTGGAAGAGATGCAAAAGCACTACAGAAGATCAAAACCAGTTAAAGAACAAGAAATTCAAATTAATAAAAACAACTTCCTGAATGGATACCACTAAACCAATGAGACTTACTGAGCTAAAGGAATTTTAACCAAAACCATTCTAGATAACTGGGAAGAAGAAACTATTTCTTCCATTCAGTAACTTGAGTGTTTAAAATATGAAGATGTAATTTTACATATTTGGTAGATATCTTCTATTTTGTTGTATTCTATGAAACCTGAAATTCATCTCAGGTCTCTCAACATCTTTTTCCTAAGTCTATCTATCAGTGATCTGATCTTCTGGGGGACTCTAGCATGACTAATCTTACTGGTGCTAAGTATATTGGAGAATGAGCTCTAAGTTGCTATATATTCTCAAGTTATAAATTTTTATTAAAAAGTGTTATTCTTGCTCTCATTCTATCATAATTTACAGAATATAATATTTTATATATAAATGAGGGAAATAAAAATTGAAAGAGGGAAAAAAAACTGTCAATATATTGGTAGTCACCAAATTTAATAAATGAGTTATAATCTGAAAGTTTATTTGTAAATATTTAGAAACTGGTACACATATTTCTGCTTTCCTCCCCCCCGCCCAAATAGATTTTACATATTGTGGTTAAGCTGACAGTTCAGCCAGAAAAGATCTACTTAACTCATCAATTAACCTATACAGCATTATGCTGGTAAATTTTAAAAACCAGCCCTCTGGGATTAAAAAGTCCTTTATTCATAGGGTTTTGCCAATTTCCATATGGTAAATACCTCTACTGTGGCTGATTTTAAGCTACCAACATAATGTCCCTGAATGTGCAGTAAGAAATGTGTGATAAGACACAATTATACAGGATTTCCACCATATAGATATAATTGATGTAAAGAACCTTAAGGCATAGACAGTAATAATAAAATGCAGTAAAATAATTAGGAAATAATGAGTTTAGGGTATTACTTAATAAATTTATCTAATTGTAAATCTATATGAATCAGCTCTTGTGAAAGGACAAGTTGACTATCGAATACTACTCACTCCGTGCATAAAAGGAAGACAAATACTTACAAGCATTAAACACTAATGAATGCTCCACTTTTTGCACAGTTAATCATTCCACAGGTGTTCTAAAGTGAAGAACTAAAAGGATTGGGAGGCTCAGGCTTCCCTATTGTGTACATCGTTAATTTGCAAGTGTAGAACTGCCAGGACTATTTTTCATAATAAAAATACTTAATGCATTTAATTAGTCTATAATTAACACATCTCTACTTTATCCCAGATAATGTTAAAAAGCAAATATAATGTCACTCCAATGCTACTTAAAACTTGCTTTTATAGATGACAGGGAGAAAAATATAACTTGTGTTTATAACTCACTAGCATAAAAACCAAAGTATTTACTATGACTTTCACACTGTTGTCTCTTTTATCTCATTTTGTATTGCTCTGCCCTCATTTTCTGTACTCTGATCATTTTGGCCTTCTTTCAGTATTTGTAAATACGCTTTCTTCCTTTCCACTTTTATTTTACTGTTTTATTTAAAATGAATTTATCATGAAAATTTGGCTTAAATAATTTTTGTCTTTCAGATCTTAGTTCAAGTATCTGCTTAAACTAAGTCAGATTACCCTGATATACTTTCATAAACCTCTTAAGAGTAATTCCTTCCAAACTAGGTTATAAGCGTGATGAGGAATACAAAACAGTGGGATGCAACTAAGAATCACTTGAGGAGGTTACATCAAATGTACAAGCAAGCAAATGTTATTAAAAGAAGCAAATAGATTCACAGACTCTACCCCTCAAGATTTCAATTTAGTAGGTTTACAGCGGCAACACTTTGAATTTTTCAAAAGATCCTCAGGTGATTGTTGTGCTATGCAGTCAGGATTGGAATTACTTTATGTTCTAAGCATTAAGTATTATACCTAATTAAGAAAGAATCATTATATATAGTTAAGTGGGGTAGTAGGAATAAGTGATGACAAAGAAAGATGACAGGAAGGAGTGACTGACATGTGAGATAAAATTTGAAGGATGGATAAAATACAACAGGTGAAAATATGGCAACAGTATTGGCAAAGAAATGAAGATGAGACAGGACGCAAAGTTAGGGAACAGAAAGTAGTCCGTATTTGTAGTATGGTAAATTTCAAAGGCATGGCTGGGATTAGAGCTTTGCGGGAAAAAAAAAAAAACCAAACCTAGAAAAGCAGAGCCCAAACCCAAGCCTGCCATATCTAAATATTTCAAGAGTATGCAGTATAGGCGCCTTAACATTTTTTTCCTAAGTTAACATAGTAAAATTGTCTTTTTGGATATGGTTTATGAATCTTAACAAATGTAAAGACTTGTATAACCATGATCACAATTAGGATACATAATAGTTTCATTACACTGAAAAAAATTCCTAGCGCTTCCTCTTTGTGTCTACCACTATAACCACTGGCAATCATTGATCCATTTTCTTAGTTTTGTCTTTCCAGAATGGAATTATACAGGATGTAACCTTCTGAGCTGGCTTTTTTTTTTTTTTTTCCCATTCATCATGCCTCTGAAATTCATTCAGGTTGTTACATTATCAGTAGTTCTTACTTATTACTCAGTAGTCCATTCATTCTAAGAGTGTACCATGACTCATTTATGTGGAAAGTTCCACAGAAATCAACAAGAGAGGAGCTCTACAAAACCACCCCATGAAGTTGTTTGTGAACTTCTGTGCTCACACCACAAATTTTGGTATCTTTTCATTTCTGTTCAGTTCAGTATCTTTTCTCCCCCAGATCTCTTCCTCTTTGACCCATGGATTATTCACAAGTGTGTTATTTAAATTTCAACTGCTTGGAAATATTCCTGTTAGCCTTCCTTTATTGACTTGTGGTTTAAATCAACTATGGTCAAAGAACAAACACCCTATGGATGACTTCAGTTATTTTAAATTTGTCAAGATGTTTTTATGACCTAGTCAATGTTCAATCTAGTGAATGATCCACCTATCCTTGGAAAAAAATGTACTTTTCCCCCTATTTTGGGTAGAGTATTCTATAAATGTTGATTAGATAGTTGGCTGATGGTGTTGTTCAGTTCTTCTGTAGCCTTGCTAATTTTTTGTCTACTAGTCAATCAACTGCAACAGAAAAGCACTGAAGTTTCCAACTGTAAATGTGGTTTTACTTATCTTCTCAGTTCAGTCATTTCCTTTTAGTTCTGATTTTGATTCATGTATTTTGAGGGTTTTTTTGGTTAGATGCATATATATTTAAGATTGTTGTCTTCCTAGTAATTGACATTTCTCTAATTTTGTAATGTTCTTTATCCTTGATAATATTCTTGGCACTAAAATCTTTGACAGGTTTTAGTATAGCCACTTCAGCTAAGAGTTACCATAGTATTTTTCTGTCTTTCCACTTGTAAGTTACCTATTCATCTTTGAAGTTCTCTTACATGGCACTATAGCAGGGATGTTTTTAAATTCATGCTGACAATCTGTCTTAAATGGCACATTCAGACCACTAACATAATTATATTTGGATTTAAATAATTTGATTAGCTGTCTGCTTTGTTCTGTTTTCTATTTCTCTATTTCTCCTTTTCTGTCTTCTTTTGGATTAAATTTATTTTTAGTATTGTATCTATAATGTATATTTGAAAATACCTCTCTATAGTTTCTTAGTAGTTGCTCTATGGATTACTACAAACATAATCATCTACTTAGAATGAATATTTTACTGCTTCGAGTAGAATAGAAAATTTACCATAAGTCTCTTCATCCTTTCTCTCTATATATTGTTGTTTTATGTTTTAAATTTCATATCTTCAAAACTCCACCATACAATGTAATATTGGCTATCAACCATTAAACATTTTAAAGAATTCAAGAAAACAGTCTGTTGTTTTTACCCAGATAGTTACCATTTCTCTTGTTATTCCTTCATTTCTGATATCGACTGCCTCCTTTGTCATTTCCATTCTGTTCCTGAGCCTATCTACTAAATTTTTTTATTTTGATTATTCTATTTCCCAGTTCTAAAATTTTCATTTAAGGCTTTTTGTCTTCTATGTCTGAGATTTTCTGAATTTCTGTTCTTTTCAAGAATGATTGCTTTTAGTTCCTGGAGCTTTTTAAAAATTTTTGACTAAAGAATTCTGTGCCTTTATTGGCCGAACAGGCTACATGAGAGGCATGAAGCAGGAGTAGGTGGCTCTGATGCCAGGCCTGCAGTGCTTCACAAGCTTGTAGGTGGTGAAGAACTTGCCCAGGTAGTGGCCAATCATCTCCTGCTTGATTTCCATCTGCTTGAAGGTCTTGCCACTTTAGACACCCCCCCATTGCCCACCATCTTGGGCATGGTGATCATGTCCTGCAGGAGTACCTCGGGACTATGCCATGGCGAGGGAGCTTCCTTCTTGGTCTTGCACAGGTACTCCAGCAGTGAGTATGGCTTCTCCCACAAACTCCAGTTTCACATCCGCTGCGGCTGGGCACCGTACATCTGCATCAACCTCCTAGGACTGTATAGCAGCTGGTCAAGGTCTGCGATGCCATAGGTGAACTTGCAGAAGGTGCGCTTCTGCTGTTCCACATCCGCCATCTTGTCAGCTCTTGGGAAAGCCTCCTGGACAATTTTAATACACCTGCTTTGGAATCTTTTCAGATAATTACAACATCTGTGTCATCTCAGCATTAGCATTTTTTTTTTTTTAATAAATCGAAATTTTCCTGTTTCTCTGTATACTGAGTAATTCTGGACTATTTCCTAGGCATTTTGAAATACTGTAAAACTCTTGGTCATGTTTATCTATGGAAAATGCTAATGTTTTTGTTTTAGCAGACAATCTGGTTGTAACCTGAGCTATAATTTCCAGTCAGTCTTTTGTGGTAGTAATTTCAGTATGTTCTATTTTTAAAGCGTTGTAGTGCTATTAAAATATCCTGTGTAGGGGATACCAAGTGGCTGGCTGGCTTAGAAACTGGGTGGCACTCTACCTCTCAGTTCAGTTGTCAGTCTTGGGTATACGGTTTAGTATCAGATCCTCACATCTGCAACTCAGGGGTGAGCCCAAAAGTTCATAAACAACTTTATATAGGGTGGTTTTCCCTAGCTCCTCCCTTAGCAATTTTTAGTTCCCCAGGGTTCCTGTTTTTGGTTCTCCGGCAGAAACCTAGAGCTTTAGTTACCCAGCTCTGCAGTACACTTCATACAACTATCTTTCTGCAGTGCCAAGCACAAAGGACAGAAAGAGAAAAATGCCAACATAGGTAGCTCTACCTTTTTCTTTCATGACCTGAGCTGAAGGCAGACACTTAACTGACTGAGACACGAAGGAACCCCAGTTGCCCTACCCTTTTGAGACCTATATGTAACTGGAGGAAGGTTTCCCACTTTCAGAGTTTTAGGTCCGTGTGGGCCCCACATGCTGCTGTGATTTTCACCCTTGCAGGATTACATGGGGACTGTGATTGATATAAGGGAAAGGAGAAAAGAAAAAGAGAACTGGGGGACTTCTTCTACTGTTGCTGAGTGCTAGTAGTCCCTTTTCCTTCTCCCCAAGCCCGAAGTGGAGGGCTTTTCTTTGAACTCTTAGTCATGCCTCAGTGCCCCACTTCTACATGTTAAGTGGCCTTAATCTAGGTTAAGGAACACCAGAAGGAAAACTAGAAATATGTCCTCACTTCAGTGGTACTTAAAATTCTAGTCTATCCAAACCAGCCTGCTACTATTTAGCTTCTTGAGTCAACAAAAAGCTGTTCCATGCATTCTGTTCATAGTTGCACACAAAAAACACTAGAATGTGCTTTCCTTGTCTTTTTGGGAACTGGAATCTTAATTTCATTCTTTTTTTAATTTTTTTTTAAGATTTTATTTATTTATTTGACAGAGATTACAAGTAGGCAGAGAGGCAGGCAGAGAGAGAGGAGGAAGCAGGCTCCCTGCTGAGCAGAGAGCCCGATGTGGGGCTTGATCCCAGGACTCTGAGATCATGACCTGAGCCGAAGGCAGAGGCTTTAACCCACTGAGCCACCCAGGCGCTCCTTAATTTCATTCTTAATGAAATTCTTAATTTCATTAAAATAATCATAGATGAAATGGATATAGAGTAAAGGTTGAAAACCGTTACGGTAACAAAATGATGGGATACAGCTGGAAAGGATAAAGTAAAAGTACTGTATGCTGTCACTGCAAGACAGAAGGATCTCTATATAATTTGAAGATTAGTAAGAATGCAGGGCAGGTTTCTGATGTTAGAAGCACAGCATTACATTACATTAAAATTAATCTGGAGATACATAAAACAGATTACACAGATGCAAACAACAAAGTAAAAATATAAAGCTACTTCCATAGTTCAGGCAGGCATAAAGAGTCTGAAAAAGAGTAGTGTGAAGAGAAAGAGTGCAGATGGAATGATCCTGTGGAAAAATCTATAACTCCTTGAGAACTCTGATTTAAAACCAGATTCAATAATGATAAAGTTTAAGCACAGTTGATGGAAAGAATTACATTTTCAGAATCAGGAATGTCAGGCCAAGTAGACTGGCAGGGGAAAATAAGTTTAGTTTTTGACATATTATGTTAGAATCTCTGTCTGTGAGATTTATGAAGAGATGCCCAATAGGCAAAGAGAAACACAAATATTTTTTTTTAAGATTTTATTTATTTATAAGAAAGAGAGAGAGAGAAAAAAAAAAACACAAGTGGGGGGAGGGTCAGAGGGAGAGGGAGAAGCAGGACCCGGAATCATGACTGAGCCCAAAGCAGATGTGTAACCAACTGAGCCAACCAGGTGCCCCATGGGAAATAGAAATCTAAATACAAGAATTCAGGACAAGGGATACAAATTTGGGAATCCCTGTTCAGAGTAAAGTTAAAACTATGGAAGGAAAAGATCATTGAAGACTACATTATCTTAGCAAGAAAGCACCCAAAACAAAGAACTTTGGAGAAGAAGGAAAATTCTCTGCCTGAAAATAAGACAGAGAAGGAACATTTAGGAAAATGAAAGAGAAGGAACACAGTAGCACAGATTTCAAGAACAGTGTTTCAAGAAGGTAGATCTGAAAATGAATTCCAAATATTACAAGGTTAGGGAGCACTCAAGCAAATGAATCACCGATTGTGGTGTTTCTGTCTTCTCTCTTACCAATCACATCTTCCTTTCTTTCTACTAGATCATTCCCATCAGCTCACCACCATACTGAGTCCTCTTACAAACAAATAAGCAACCAAACACACATCTTCCCTTATATTCACACTCTTCTATTACCTATTTTTTTGTTCCCTAACACTGCCAATTTCTTGTGTTATCCACCTAGGTTGTCTTTACTCTCTCATTCACTCTCCATTGCTCAACTATGCTCTAGCTTCCAATGCTACTGCACTACTCAAGCTGCTTGCCAAGTCTATGTAGCTAAATCCAATTCTTGTCATATTTGGTTTATTAGCAGCCCTAACCATGAAACCTTGGATGGATCACCTAATTTCTAATTTCTACTTTGTAAATGCAGGGGGAAAAGACCATATTAAATAATCTGCAGGTCTGAATTCAGCTTTAAAGTTTTATAATTATAAATTTTTTTTTAAAGATTTTATTTATTTATTTGACAGAGAGATCACAAGCAGGCAGAGAGGAGGAAGCAGGCTCCCTGCTGAGCAGAGAGCCCGATGCGGGGCTCGATCCCAGGACTCCGAGATCATGACCTGAGCCGAAGGCAGCGGCTTAACCCACTGAGCCACCCAGGTGCCCCTATAATTATAAATTTAACTAAAAAATATTTCTTAAACTATGATATAAGACAGCAGCATTTCTCTGTTAAAGTATTTTCCCCACCTTAATAAAATTGTATAAAGTGTACATGGGATCACTTAATATGCATGTTCAGTGTGAAATGACAACCACAATCAAGTTGAATTACGCATCCACCCCCTCACATAGTTACTCTTTTCTTGAGACATTAAATGGGAAAGAAAGGAAGATTAACCTTTTTTGTTGTTGTTCATATGGAAGCTGTGGCTAACTATGGCCACAAAGCACATAGTTGGAAGTCATCTGGATTCTCCCTCCATTCTTTGTATAAATTTCTCTCCATGTATTTTTGGATATCTTCCATATTAATGATTAGAGGTCACTCTAATCATCAGCTCTTTATTGGAATTTTTACATCTTCAACTGTTTGTGGCCACGCTAGATATTTTAAAGTCAAATCTAATTACTTACCAATGAAGTTTCTGTAATTCCTTCTCATTCCATTCTTCATCCTGAATTATACCAGGAAAACATTCAAAGGAATGCTTATTTGTCTCATTAGAGCCCACTGCCTCAATAATTCGAGACTCATTCCTAATACCAGCTTTCTGAAGATTTTCTTTAGCAGAACATCTAGCTTTCTTTTGTTTGATATAAAATTCACTTTCACTTTCTTCAGTTTCAGATTCAGAAATCACTGGGATTTTCCTTGTGGTGGTTCTTGTGTTTTTCCTGAGGTGAACCACTGTTTCTTTGGTATTCCTTGCTCTGGTTTTCTTAGCAATTTCAGCTTTCTTTCTAATTCGCTTTTCTGTTTCGCTCTCTTCACTAGAAAAATCTGATGAAGACTGATGCTCATAAAATAACATAGATGCCTTTTTTATTTTCTTCAATGTTGGTAACAACCTTGTATTTTTCTTAAAATCGGAGGTGACCGTCTTTTCCTTTTTAGGATGAGATACTTTGATTTTCTGGTTGACAGTGAGCAAATCACATTCATTGCAATCTTCCTTGTTTTTATTTTTCTGATCCACACTGTACTCAAATGCATTTTTGAAGGTCTTTGTGGGCTTACTGATCAAATGTGCAGTTCCATTTAAGTCTGATTTACTTTCTTTCTGATGATTTGGCACTGCAAAATCTGTTACTGCTTTAATGGTGCCACAGGACAGATTATACTTCATGCATTTTTGTTCTATCACTTTTTTAGACTTAAGTGGTGTCACTAAAATATAAGCTTCCTTCTGATTAATAGCCATACATTTTCTTTCTTTGTCTGAGAAAAACCGTTGTCTTGAGGTTAGAATGTCAATGGATACATTCGATTCTTCAGTTCTCTCTTTAATTTCATAAGACAAAACCAAACATCAAAATCTCAAATTAGCTACAAAATAAAGCACAGAATTTTTTTTCTAAAATAAAACATATTTTTCCCATAAACTCCAATGTACACATTACTGTCATTACTAGTCTTCCTGAAGCACCAGTCTGTTCAGATTATTGCCCCTCAATTGTAAACATATTTTTTATACCAACCAGTCTGTGACTTCCTACAGTCTACTGAGTGTACACATAAACTCCTCTGTCTGGCCTTGAATGTAGTTCTGAACTACAAATCTATAGTTCAGAACTACATTCAAATCTGAACTATATTCTTTGTCTACTGGACCACTATTTCTCCCCATTTTCTTGATTTTCAATTTTCACTATCATTCTACTTGGAAAGTTTTCTTTACTCAGAAACCAAATCACTACTTGCTTTAATTCCATTCTCTAATCCACATCATCCACAAACTTTGTCTGATTCCCTCAAGTGAATGAGAAGTTCTCCTTCAAATTTCCAGAATACTTTTAAATAATATGTTTGACTATGTGCCCTGCATTATAAATATACAAACTTGTCTTATCTTTGACTAGACTGCAAAAAAATCCTTAATAGTGAGAATTTTATCTTCATTTTTAGATTTTTTTTTTGTTGGAGTTAGTACAAGAGCCTTTCAAATATGCAGTAAATGATAAATATATATTAAATCAACTCTTTAGAGGTAAAATATTTAGGTGACATAAGAGAGCCACTAGTGTTGCTAAAACTTTACTAGGTATATAATTCCTTACATGAAATGCAAGCTATCCTAGTTAGGGGAATAAGGAACTCTATCTCTGTGGCCCCATCATCATCCCTAATGGTGGCAATGGAAACACAGTTTTGCTGAGTTGTCCAAACTCCATGGAGCATTATGGAATAACAATCAAACCAGAACTTGGGAATCTTTATTATACTGTGTCACTATTAAAGAAAGCAAATTAAAATGAGAGAAATTCTCCAACTGCCATTATAAGTAATATATACAAATCATAAACCATCACACCAAGCATCATAGTGAAATACCGCAACAACCTACACATATAATGTACCATTTTACAAGATGAATGATAAAATAAAGACTGATGAGTAATGTTGGATGCTGGGGAGAAAAGAAGCCACTAAATTATAATTCATGAAGAAGTGGTACTAATTAAAAGTAATCAAAGTTTTTAAAAGTAATCAAAGATTACTAATTAAAAGTAATCAAAGATTTCTCAATGGATCATCTATCTTCCTGACGGAAGTGTTTTCTTTTAATTCCTCACATAAATCTGACTCAAATGTTCAACTGGAGATTTGAAATTTTTGAGCTCCCTAATTTTAAATAAAATACTTTTATTCTGAATATTTTTATTCATTTTATTAAAATAATCTGAATAAAGATTCATCCTATTCTGTATACTTTAACCTAAGTCACATGATCCTGATAGTCTTTAAACATTTAATAAATGTTCTTCACTTTCACTTCCTTTCACTTATGAAATAAAATAAAGATGCTACTAAGTCGAAGGATTTAACTCAACATGAAATCTGAAACTTGCTAATGTATAGAGAAAAGACTCTTTAAATTCTGGTATGCAGGATTTCAAAGAAATCATACCAAAAATCGACACTTACACATACCTAAATGATGGCATTAAGTTCATAAAAAGATTCATAGTCTTTAAACATTTCTTTTAAATGTAAACCCAGTAAAGTTATATCACCATGAACATTCCAAAAATCATATTTAAAATAATATATAGCTTTGTTATTTAAAAAAAAATTATGGGTGCCTGGCTGGCTCAGCTGGTAGAGCATGTGACTCTTGATCTCAGGGTTATCAGTTTGAGCCCCATGCTGGGTGAATAGTTTACTTAAAAAAAAAAAAAAAAAAGGTTAAAAAAATAAATAAATAAAAATTATTTAGTATCTAGATTAAGAAAGGGAAACCTACAAGTAAATATGGTATGTAAGGTAATAGATTATTTTATTATGTGAATTGTTACATAGAAAAACAATACTTTACTGTACATCTAAAACTAGTAACATTGTATGTTAATTATGGTTCAATTAAAGAAAAAAACTGGTATTCTAAAAAAACACCAAAAAAGCCCCCCGACACTTATAACCATTGTAATACTTCATTTACAACTTTAGATTTGGAAATTTTGAGATCACTTTTACTATATATTTAATGTAACTTTATTATATATTTAACATAATATTATATAATAGTATTATATTAAAAACATTTCAAATAAGAGTTATCTGCTTATTATAAAATCAATAAAGATATAATACCTTGCTTCTGACTTTTAATTATCGTTTCATCTGCTCTTTCATAATTTTCAAGTTTCTTTGAAGACACGTTTTCATATTCTTTCTTCCCATTTAATTCCTTCAAAACAAAAAAATAGCTTAACAACTACTACCTATAAACAGGACCTCAAGTATTTTCACAGTATGTATCAAGCATGCAAATATCTAGGTACTTTTAGTTCTACAAATTTCATTAATGGAGGCATTCAGAAACTTATTTGCCAGAGCTTGAGTTTTGGAATCACCATGTGGGTATCAACTATCTTAGATATTTCCTATAATGATTTAATACCTGTGATATGTCAAGTGCATATACAAACACACATACACACACACACACACACACACACATACTTTATTTAAGCATTACTCTAAGAGCTAAACTTTGTTTTATTGACTTCACTTTTCCAATGAGGCACGGAGAAAATAAGTATCAAGACATTGTCAAGGCTGATATTTAACAGAATTCATGATTTCTGATTTGGTCCTGAACATTTTTAGTAGCATCACACCACCACTCTACATATCACAGTGTACAGTAAAAGCTTACCTCATTAGATAAGTCATTTCCTCCTCCATTTTGAAAAGTATTATTTACTTGGTCATCTGGGAGCCTTAATGGTGGTTTATTTTGGCAATTACCATGGCACACGTTTAATTCTGTGGCTCCTGGCAACCTACTGCGCTTACTATTTTTCACTTCTATGTGTACAAAGATGGAGATATTAACAAATTATTAAATAGAAGATAAACTGCCTTTCCACATTAAAGAATTCACTTTCAAGATATGTTATCTAGGGGCACCTGGGTGGCTCAGTGGGTTAAAGCCTCTGCCTTCAGCTCAGGTCATGATCCCAGGTCCTGGGATCGAGCCCCACATTGGGCTCTCTGCTCAGCAGGGGGCCTGCTTCCTCCTCTCTCTCTCTGCCTGCCTCTCTGCCTACTTGTGATCTCTGCCTGTCAAATAAATAAATAAAATCTTAAAAAAAAAAAAAAAGATATGTTATCTAGAAAGAGTAGTAAATTAATGTTCATACTTTTTTTCCAGCAGGAGGGAGGGCGGGATATGAGGCAGATTACAGTTTTGGCAAAGAGGTGATGGGACAATTCTGTCAGCTACCTTATAGCAATGGTCACTCAAAAAAACATGCCATTCCCTCCATGGAAGCAAACTGGTTTTGTCTATTAACAAAAATGCAATTTAATATAAAAATATAGGCATCTGTAATATAGGTCCAAGGTGGGTTGGTAACCTAAATACTTAAGTCTAGGAAAGTGAAAGAAAATCACCTTCATTGCCATGTTTATTAGTGTTCTTGATTCTGATGAACTAAAACATGATATTTAAAGAAATAAGCAGAGAATAGACTGCACTGTAGTTTTTCAAGTATTAAAAAATAAGAATTTTAGGGCAGTGCAAGTCAAAAACTAAATACACTATAAACAGTGTAGATAAAAAAAAGAGCAAACATACCCAAATGACAACAATCAATGTCATAAGTAGTGCTGGCTTTTTGGAGGACATCTGTTTGGTTTTCTCTCGCATCATTTTTTGATGATTTTTGTATATCAGGGACAAATCTTCCCGTTTTCTGTTTTTGTCTGGCCTTTCTCTCTTTCTTTTCACAAGCCCTAAAAACAAGTATAGCATTTTTCCTTTAGTATTTGTTCTCAAAAAAACAAAAACAAAAAAACTGAACATATAAATAAAGTCCCTCAGATAAAGCTCCTCTCCCAGCAAAGATTATCTTTAATCTTACATTATTTACACCTTTAGGACTTCTACCTCTTCCCCCACAAAGAACTGAAAGACAACACCTTAAAAGAATCATAAAACCTTGCATTTACTACTCTATGCTCTTTCATTTTCTACTTAAGCTAATATTGTAAGAAAATTACAAGACTATTGCTGACAGTTGCCTATTTCTGGAAATAAATTTTACTGAAACACTGCCACATTCATTCATTAAAGTACTGTCTATGATTGTTCTCCTGTTACAAAGGCAGAGTTGAACAGTTGATGCAGTATGCCCATAAAAACACTTCCTTATCTGGCTCTTCACAGGACATCCCTCCACCCCAGCATTATAAATTATACAATGGTACTGTGATTAATTAACTTATATCACTGTAACCCCCGTGAGTTCCTTTAATGGCAAGAATTAATAAAATTTTCTTTGCTTTTCCTGTGCCAACACAGCATCTGCTAAGCAACTGACATTAACTACTGATGGAATGAATGAAAAAGGACCAAGAACTTAACACCCATGTTTAACAGCAACATCCCTCTTAAATGTTGTTTGAATGAGGATGCTCCCTGAAATGTCAAAGGTGTTATTTTCCTCTTAGATTTATTCCATATGACAGAAATTCTAGTAAAGTATTATTGCTTTCTAAAATTCCAGGATTAGAGAGAACTTCAAAACTAGCATTCCCTGCCCCCCCCGAAAAACAAGTTAAAACCAATTTAATTGATTAAACAGATATATTTGTAAAAGCCCCCCAAATTTTATACCTAAAAATGGGTGCATTTTATCAAATATAAATTATATCTTAATAAAGTTTTTTAAAAATTAAGAAGTACTTTACCTTAATTGTTCTAGAAAATTATCAATATGCTCTTTCCATTTTTCGGGAAAGCCAAACATAAACTTCCTTATGAGATAATTTGGATATCCTATTTAACAATAAACAAACAAAAATTATCTAAAAGCTGAGAATTTTAAAGACATGTCATTGGTTCATTAGATCATTGAAAAAACATACACTTATTGCTCACTTTGTGCCAGGCACTGCTACAGACATTAAGGATTCAGCAGCTAACAAAACAAAAATTCCTGCCTTCATGGAACTTGACTTTTATTGTGAAAGAGTAAGCAAACCAATAAATAAACATCTTGTTTGTGAGATGGTCACCAATGCTATGGAGAAAAATTAAGCAGTCAATCAGTGAAAGGATACTAGTATACGTATGCTGGGGGAGAAGAGGGGTGCAGCATTTTTAAATGAGGTTCTCACTGAAACAGCATCGTTTGAGTAAAGCTTTGAAGGACACGAGGGAGTGAGCCATGTGGCAATACGGGATTAAAACACTGGAAGCAAAGGGAACGAAATAAAAGGCTATGAGGTAAGAGTGTGCCTGGCCTGATGTTAAAAATTAGTATGGTTGGAGAGAAGTGAAAAGAAGCTAGTACTAGGAGACTGCTCAGAAGGGAATAGAGGCAGTAGAGGAACATGGAAGATGATAAGGCTTTGGGGTCATTTTATGGGCCTACTCTTTTACTTTGGGTAAGATGGGAAGCTATAGAAAAATCTTGAGCAAGGGAGCCACAGGATTTAACTTGCTTTAACAAGACAATATTAGCTGCTATTTTGAGAAGTCTCTGGAAAAAAAAAAAAAAAAAAAAAAAAAACTTAAAAAAAAAATCACTGAACTTATTTAAACTGTTATTAAGGGTGATTAAATCAGAGAAAAATAGTCAACACATATAATAAATAGTTTTACATAATGTGGCCAACTCTGTTTTAATTTTTTGTTTTGATTGATCCATAATTTAAAAACACCTAAGAACAACAACAACAAAAAAATAGGTATCACTGTTAGAAATATGGTTAATTGATTCATTTAAAGAAATTTATAATGACAGTCATTACCTGCTTCCTTCATGGAAATCCGATCTATCATCCCTTTTAATATGTAAATATTGCCTGATAAAGTCCTAAGTTTGTTGTGCTTAATCCGTTCTATAATGACATTACTGTGCCAATATATGTTAGTGATGTCTCTAGGAGAAAATTAAAGGCCAAATATTCACATTTTACCAGTAATCACAATTTACATATGTAACTATACAAAATTATAATAATAAAAAGTAATAGATTTGCACTCTACAAACATTTAGCAATATTATCCATTTAATTATAAACATCTGAGGGCCAAACATTGCAGCAGAATTCAACTGCCTGGCTAATGTGATCCTCAGAGTATGTAACAAGAAACTGTACTGTGTCCAAACCAAACCACTAATATAAAATTTATCATTAGCAAGGAAGCAGGGGCCTTCTCTAAATGGTGCTGACAATGCTTGCAACTTCATCTTAACTGATGCCAAGTTTCTGAAGAATGGTTTCCTGTCCCTCTTGTCAGGGCTTATACTGTGTTAGCTTTCATGCAGTTACATAGTTTGGATTCCCCTAATCCTGTGAGTACTTTTTGTCTTTTTACCCTCACTACCCATCCAAGTATTTTTACCTTCCTTTTTGAAAATACCAAAAAAAGAGTTCCAACTAGGAAAAAAAACGAACTGCAATATCAAATCACTAACCCATATATCTACTCTTTGTATTTCCTTAAATGAAGCTAGGAATATAAAACAGAAAGAAAATATAAAGATGTATTACATAAATGTTGAACATTCCCAATTCATCAGGTAACTAGTAATAAACACACTAATTTTTTTTTCAAAGACTTTATTTATTTATTTGACAGCGATCACAAGCAGGTGGAGAGGCAGGCAGAGAGAGAGGGGAGGAAGCAGGCTCCCCGCTGAGCAGAGAGCCCCATGGGATCATGACCTGAGCCGAAGGCAGAGGCTTTAACCCACTGAGCCACCCAGGCACCCAACACACTAATTTTAAGGGTAATATGATAGTTAAGTTCCTTTCATTTGGTCAAATGAGACTAACCTCAGACATATTTTAATACAGTGATCCTGTGCTTTTTTGTTTCATTTTACTTAACATTTAAATAGCACTCCAAAAGCACTGTTCTTAAGTCTCACAAATATTAACTATTTTAATATTCAAAATAACCCAAAGAATAGGTAATATTATTATTATCATTGTGCAGATGAAGAAACTGAGACTGATAAAGGATAATAAGGTGCCCATGTCATATAGCTGGTAAGGCAGCAGAAGTGCGATTCCAACACAGACCACCTCTTTGACATTAAGGACATCGGCCAAGACAAGCAGAAATAGAATGGGCAAAACAGATTTTAAATAAGTAACTTACAAACTTCTAGGTGAGTACCCTGAACAGTGATATCTTATTTTATGACAACCTTTTAATACAATTTTTTTTAACCACTAAGAAACTGGTTTTGAAAAAGAGAAAATAGTGCTAATAGAGTAGCAAAATTAGGCAATGTCCACTCACCTGATGACGCTTTTGCTTTAGGGAGAACCAGAGAGTGCCAATGATTATTTAATATGTAGTTGTATGGCAAAGTGTTAAATAATTCGGATTCCTTTTCTGGATCAGTAATTTAGATCTGGTTGTCCCAATTTAGATGTGAGAATCTGGACTGAAATGCACGTAGTAAATATTAACTACCCATATATAATTAAGCAGAGAACACCAGTCCACTTAATAGAAGCTCTTTAAAATATAAAGCATCATGAGGGGCACCTGGGTGGCTCAGTGGGTTAAAACCTCTGCCTTCCGCTCAGCTCATTATCTCAGAGTCCTGGGATCCAGCCCCAAAACAGGCTCTCTGCTCGGAGGGGAGCCTGCTTCCTCCTCTCTCTGCCTGCCTCTCTGCCTACCTGTGATCCCTGTCTGTCAAATAAATAAATAAAATCTTAAAAAAAAAAAAGCATTGTGTATACAAATTTGAGTTGTTACTATTCTAAAAGGAACTTAACAGGCGAAAACAAGAAATCTGGTTATAATCAACATGGCCAGCTTCTGCACAGTCTTTTTACTTTTCTGGCTTCAGTTTGTAACCTTGTTACAAAGTCTTTGTTTTGTAGGAAGATGCATCTCCTTCCAGCTCTTATATACTTATAAATTTTATTAAAATACTGAAATGTTATACTTACGTCAATTTTCCTTCTACACATATAGCGGTATTATTATTTATGATTTTAATCATCCATTCTTGTAGCTGGACCACCTATCAGCATAAAATGAAGTATATGTTTCCTGTGTTACTTGTAGCAAAAACATTACAAAATAAATTTACATCATATAAAAAGAAAAGACTCATATACTTAGTGCTCATCTATGTAAGAACCACATTCTATTTTAAATAGTAGCAAGGTAAAGACTCTCATATACAATGAAAACAGAAAAGAGGAAGATTGGAAGTTGTACTGCATAATTTTTTTGTCCAATCCAGAATCAGTTCTATGTCAAATATTCTTATATCAAATATCCCAACCACTGGAGAAAAAAAAAAAAAATTACCTAAAATTCTAAGGTATCCATTAAAGACAAAAGACCTGACTTATATGAGTCAGCTATGTAGTATATACTCCACCATCATTCTTATCCTAAAAAAATATAGCATTTTTCTTTTTTCTGCAAATTTGGTTTTGAATTGTATTTAATTTTCTTTAAACTACAAAGGTGATTACTAATAATCTATATTTCCCAGCAGTCTAATCCAGAGCAAATATCTAAACAGCTCAGAGAATTATTTTTTTTTTTTAAAGATTTTATTTATTTATTTGACAGAGAGATCACAAGCAGGCAGAGAGGCAGGCAGAGAGAGAGGAAGAAGCAGGCTCCCTGCTAAGCAGAGAGCCCGATGCGGGGCTCGATCCCAGGACCCTGGGATCATGACCTGAGCCGAAAGCAGAGGCTTTAACCCACTGAGCCACCCAGGCGCCCCTCAGAGAATTATTTTAGGACAAAATCCTACTGGAGAGGAAAATTTCTGTGAATGTGTGTGTTGAGAAATTGCTTCTACTATGTAACAACACTAAACTATTTCTGATGAGAAATTCAGCAAAAGTCGTAACTAATTTCAGTAGCCATTTAGTTTACATACAAAAAATTATAAATTTATAAAGACAAGTTCTTCAGTGGTAGTTTTATGATGAGCCAGAAAAAGATGCTAAAATGGAAGGTCCTTCTATTTATTGCACTTTTCCTCAGTTATGTTTATTTTTATTTTATTTTTTCCTCAATTACAAACAGGCAATGAAATTCCTTTTTCATTTTTAATACTTGGACATTTGGAACTATCTAAGATAGATCAAGGACAGTCAGATGGAGATGATATTAAAAATAAAAAATAAGGGACATCTGGGTGGCTCAGTCATTAAACGTCTGCCTTCAGCTCTGGTCATGATCCCAGGGTCTTGGGATGGAACCCTGTATCGGGGCTCCTGTTCCACGGGAAGCCTGCTTCTTCCTCTCCCACTCCCCCTGCTTGTGTTCCCTCTCTCATTGTGTCTCGCTGTCAAATAAATAAAATCTTCTAAAAATATTTAAAAAAAAAATACTAGACAATGTTCCAAGTATTTTAGATTCAATGATTCATGTTATCCTCATAACACGAGGAGGGAGGTAATATTTTCCTCATTTTATAGATAAAGTAACTGTAAAGTCAAGTTAAATAACTTGTCCATGTCACACATAGCTAGTTAGGGGCACAGATTGGTTACAAATCTGGGAATTCTGGCTCCAAAATCTTGTACCATCCTGCTTACATAAAATATCAAAATGTGCATTCATATTCACTCAGCATATTCTTGACCTGTACTATATGCCAGGCACTGTTAGGCAGTGGGATTCAGCAAGAAACAAAATGGCTGCCCTATTAGAGCAAACACTGGTGTGTGTGTGTGTATGCTACTGTGCGCTCACAGGGGCTGAGGGGTGGATGTGTAGAAGCAAGTGGAGTGGTGGTGGTTATATCCAAACAAATGGACAAATACTGTCTGGCAGTGATAATTATCAAAAATAAGTACAAGACATGCTTACTTAGATATGATAGGGAAGGTCTTGGAACAGAAAACTGAGTAAAGTAAGGGACAGGACATATAAGTTACCTGGGAATACATTCTTCCAGGCAAAGGGAACAGGTACAAAGTCCCCAAGTAGATAGCATAGAGGGCACAGCAGCTTGAATAAGCAAGAAAGCAACAGAGGGGAATGAGAGATGAGATTAGGCATGTCAAGGATTATGAATTATGTAGAGTCCTGTAAAAGACGGTAAAGGCTTAGGGTTTTCTCTTAAGATAAAAAGATAAAAAGTTACTGGAGGATTCTGAGCAGAGTGGAGACATGATTTAATATTTTAAGGAGTTACTGGGTAGAAAATGAACTGTATAAATATTCTGGCAGGGCACTTGGGAGACTCAGTTAGCTAAATGTCAGACTCTTGATTTTGGCTCAGGTCATAATCTCAGGGTCATGGGATCAAGCCTTGCGTGGGACTACGTGCTTAGCGAGGAGTCTGCTTAAAGATTCTCTCTCTCCCTTTCCCCCTTCCCCTGCTTGTGCACATGCTCTCTTTTCCTCTAGGGTAAACAAAAAATCTTAAAAAAAAAAAAAAAAAAAAAAAAAGAAAAAATGGTGATTCTGGCTGTCTGAAAAACAGAATGGAGAGAGAGAACAACAGCGGAGAGCAAGGAGACCATTAAGCTATTATAGTAATCCAAGAATTTATGGTACCCTGGACTAAGGTAGTGATTGAGTAGTGAGAAATGGCCAGATTTAGGACAGAAGAGCCAACAGGATTTCCTCACAGTCTGGAGTAGAGTATGACAGAAAAACAAGAGTCTCAAACAAATCTGAAATTTTAACCTAAATTAAATTTGGGGGAATGGTATTACTATGTACCAGTATGGGACACAGCTGAAAGAAGTTTTGGGGGAAGAAATCATTTTAGACATATTAAATCTGAGATGCCTATTAAATATCAATGGAGAAGTCCTAGAGACAATTGAATATGTGACTGTGGGGTTTAGGAGAATGTTCTGGACTGGAGATATATATTTAGGAACTATCAGTAAAGAAATGGAATGTAAAGCTACAGCACTGGATAATCCAGTCTTTAGAGTGTGTGCAGGCACTAGAGAATCAGTTTCAAGGACTGATTCTGGGGAATTCCAGTATTATAGATAGTGACAAGAGGAAGGAGCAAACCGGAATGAGAAGATTGGCCAGTGAGACAGGAGAAAATCAAGATTGAGGTATCATGGAATTCAATAGAAAAAACAATACAATGTTTTAAGAAGGATGTTTTGATTCACTGTGTTAAACCCTTGTCCGCAACAGAATAATAAGAAATAATAATCACTGGTTTGGTAACATAGAGATCGCTGGTGAACCGAAAAAGGGCCATCTTCACAGAGCGATTTATGAATGCCCAATGTAGAATATATTTCAGAAAGAATAAGAACAAAAACTGTGAATATATATACCTCTTTCAAGGTGTTTTACAGTAAATGGAAACAAAAAGATGGGGTTACAGTTGGAATGGGATAGGGAGTAACAGGAAGGTGGACTTTGTCTTTGCATTTTTTGTTTTTTAAATGCAGGCCATGTTTCAGCACATTTATATGCTAATGGAAATTTTCCAGAAGACAGAAAACTGAGGGGATAATTAGAGGGACAAAGTTCTATAGGTGGTAAGAGGAAGTGAATTGGCCTTGAAAAGGGAGCACAAACTGTTCATCCATAAGAGAAGGGGAAGCAGAATACGTGGATAGAGCAGCCAGGAGATTGGTGGATTTGGTAATGGGAACATGAGGTTCAATAATTTGGGAATGGGGAAGAGAGAGGAGATTTGGAGGGTTTTTTTTTTTTTTTTAAGATTTTATTTATTTTATTTGACAAACAGAGATCACAAGTAGGCAGAGAGGCAGGCAGAGAGAGGAGGAAGCAGGCTCCCTGCTGAGCAGAGAGCCCTATGCGGGACTCGATCCCAGGACCCCAGGATCATGACCTGAGCCGAAGGCAGAGGCTTCAACCCACTGAGCCACCCACGCGCCCCAGATTTGGAGGTTTTAAGAGAGAAAAAGCAGGAAATACTATTCTAGGAAAGTTAGAGTATGAGGTGGATTAACAAATGAAGTGTAGCAGGACTGATGTTTATACTGAGAGCCCCCTTAAGGTTTGCTGTCAAATTTAAAATGAGACCAGTGTGGTTGTGCATTTCATTTCAGCCATATTTTTTAAAAGATTTATTTATTTTAGAGAAAGAGGAGAGGGAGAGGCAGAGGGAGAGAGTCTTAAACAGACTCCCCACTGAGCTCAGGGCCCCACCTAGGGCTCAATCTCACAACTCTGAGATTACACCTGAGACAAAACCAAAAGATGGATGCTCAGCCAACTGAGCCACCCAGGTGCCCCCACCTGATATTTCTTAGGTATATGAGCGAAATTTAACTAGGATCCTAACTTTGTCAAAAGAGAACAGAGGAAGGGGCACCTGGGTGGCTCAGTTGATTAAGCGACTGCCTTCAACTCAGGTCATGATCCCTAAGTCCCAGGATCAGTCCTGCATCAGGCTCCCACCTCAGCAGGAAGTCTGCTTCTCCTTCTCATCCTCTCCTCTCTCATGCTTTCTCTCATTCTAATAAATAAATAAATAAAATCTTAAAAAAAAAAAAAAAAAAAAGAGAATGAGAATGGAAAGAAAAGCAATAGAGTCCTGACAGTTAAATCAAAGGGATGGCTAAAATGATGGGATCATGGAATCTGTAAGGTAAAGAGCAAGATGAGGAAAGAAGAGCACTTATGGTCTAAAGGATTACCTTGGTAAGGTGGAGTATTCATGGTGAGGGAAAGGGAAGAGTGCTAGGGATAGAATGATCTGGAAAGGCAGGAGTTTGTGTGAGCAGGATGCTTGAAAGTGAGAATCTGGAGCATGTACTGGCAAAGACAAGGTATGAGGATGACTAGGGTAGATGGTAATGGTTAAGGGAAAGGTCATTTAAGATCAAGAATTTAAGGAGGCTGGATGGATCATCTATATGGATGTCAGTGTCACCAGAGTTGATGACAGAAGTATGAGTATGACTAGGGTAGATGGTAATGGTTAAGGAAAAGGTAATTTAAGATCAAGAATTCAAGGAGGCTGGATGGATCATCTCTATGGATGTCAGTGTCACCAGAGTTGATGACAGAAGTAGTAGCAGAAGAAAAAGTAACAGGCATTAAACACTTTAATAGTAATGCAAGGTTATGACTAGCAAGTTGTATTATATAGGACTACAAGGAGTTACAGGGAGTGAAAAAGTTAAAAGAGCTATAGCACTTGCTTCAAAGAAGGTGGGAGGGGCTGTATTAGAGAAAAGGAAGGAAAATGGCCTGAAATAGTAATGAGGAACAAAAGAGATACATTATATCATCTTTACGCCAACAATATGAGATATTGGAGAAAAAAGAACCACTATTTAAGAAAAGAAGCTGTATTTTGGTTAGAGCAAGGTTAAGAAATGTTCACAGAAAATTGAGAATTTAACATTTTGCTGATGATACACCTTGAGTTCAAGAGGGTACAATGCAATGTTTGGAGATGAGAAACAGATTGGGTCAGAACTAGGGCATGTACAGAACTGTATACAGGTAAGAGTCTTGGAAGGCTTGGTCTTCTTGTAGTAAATAAGATAAACAGCACTGTAGCAATGACAGAATTAGTATGTGGGATCTCCCATTACAGTTGTCTTCAAACTTTTTGCTCAACCCACCTCATACATTTTTAATGCAACGTCCAAAAATTTTCATCAAGTCTAAATATTTGCAAATAATGCAATTTCCAAAGAATACATTGAGATATAGAACTATAACTATTACGGGGGCACCTCGGCGGCTCAGTTGGTTGAGCATTGGATTCTTGATTTTGGCTTAGGTCATGATCTTGGGGTCCTGGGATTGAGCCCCACATTGGGCTCCACACTCAGCAAGGAGTCTGCTTGAGGATTCTTTCCTTTTCTGTCTGCAAAACATCCCCACCCCTCATGCATGCTCTCTAAAATAAAATTAAATCTCAAAGGAAAAAAAAAAAACCCAAAACTATAACTATTACATCACACTTCCAACAGGGGGCTTGAATTTGCAATCTCAAGATCAAGAGTTACATGCTTTACTGTGCCAGCCAGGTACCCCTCAAATTTAACCCACTGAGCCACCCAGGCACCCCAAGGTGCCCCTCAAATTTAGATGGAATTTAAATACCACTATCATCCTTTAAAAAATTTATGGACAAACATTTAACAATTGGAAAATTTAAGTTGTATCTTTTTCCTTGAACTTATATTCCATTCCACTTCTTTCAGAGAATTATCCTAATGCAACATAGTGTGATAGCCTGAAGTGTTTTATTGATCACTCTGTATTACTTTAAAATGGGAAAAATTCTCAAGTCTTCAGAAGCTATAATCCCCTTCTATTTTAATTGCAGTTAATAGTGCCCCAAGAATCAGGGGGAAAAAAAAAATTAAGAATAGCAAGGAAGTCAGTGTTCATTCCCAAAGGGAGTAAGTAAATTGTTGAAGATTATACAACTAGTAACAGAACAAGGTTAAAACTTAACACTTGGTTTCTCTTACTTTCAATCCACTGCTCTTTTCACTAGGCACAATGCCTTGACACTAAATAATAAAACAAACAAAAAAAATGAACCTATTCTTAATGAGAGCTTGAGCTCAGCTTTTGAAGAATGAGGGTAAAAACATAAATGTAAATCTGTCTTAAGTTATCCTACCTTATTCTTTTTAACTTCATTTGTAAGAGTTTGAAGTGTACTTGGAGGAGAATGATTTGAAGCATTTCTTTTTGATTTCCGAGGTATTGTTATATGAAATCTTGGAGTTGCAAGCACAATTTTACATGTATCATTCATGGAACCCAGGACATCAGTCTCTCTGGGCATTGTGTTCTCATTTCCTTCCTTAATTTCCTGTTGTGAATTCCTTTCTGTCGGTATCTTACCACCAGAAACCACTGACTGGCCATCATTTTTAACAGGAACACAGTCAGTATTTAGAGTCTCAAGAGTAGAATTTTGGGATTTTTCAATGACAGAATCAACGCCTTCTAAAATAAAGGTGTCCTTTTTAGACTTAGCGGTTACAAATGTATTCTCCTTTGAATGAAGAATTTGTTTAGCCAACTGAGCTCTAGGTAATGCTTTGTTTGAGAATCCAGCAGCTGAAACATTTTCATGTTCTTGGTTCAGAAATGGAACCTCTGTAAAAAATACAAGATCAAACAAAATTTAAAGAAGAATCATATGAAATTAAAAGAGAGAAACAGAATAATATCAAACTATTTATATTAAAAAGAAGTGTTCAGGTTAGGAATGTTCCACCCTTTGGCCTAGTCTTTCTCTGAAAGGGATGCCTACACAGGGAGAATAATTATCTAGAACATTCAACAAAACAAAAAACACTTTACCATAAGTTAAATTATGCAGAGATGCTTTCTTTTCCTGCTGACATTGAATCTTTTACTTTTTCAGAAGGAAAGTACTATTTGATGATTCTAGAGGAACTTCTTGCACTGAGGTTGAGTTTTGTTTTTTGTTTTTTTAAAAGAAAGGAAATTGAATTTTATTAGTCACTGAGAAGAAAAAAAATGTCATTTACTTATGTTCAATAATGATTAGGTCAATATAGTATACTTCTGTAACATATGAGTTACATTTCCCTTTTTATCTTCTCATGCTTTTATCACATTCTCTGTATCTATAGCATGCTGAGAAAGAATTTTTAAAAAACTCTCCATGTTATAACTTGCCAGCTCTACACGAAAGTTTATTACTGAACTTAAAAGTTTAGTGATCTGGAATAAAATCTGGTGCTGCCAAAAATCAGAGAGGTCTATCTTAAAATTATATATGAAGTGCCATCCAGTCTTAAAAATTCTGATTCTGCTTCTGGTTGCTATAAATTTCTAAAACGTGAAAGAACAGTTGAAAAGGTATAGCTTGTATGTTAAGAGTTGCCATGTTGTGACTCAAAAGCAGACATAACCATAATTTATATGCCTTTGACATCTCTTTAGTAGAACTTCAAAGACAAAAATCTGGTAGGCTTATCTATTAGACAAGTAGGAACTAAAAGAATTGGTTACATTTTATTCTGCTTTATATCCTAGATAGTTAGTTTTACTTCTTGAAGGTAGAAATGAGTTTCTTTCACACAATTTTAATAGACTTAAAATTGGAGGAAAAACTGAATTATTTTATATGTTTAATTTCAAATATCTGACAAAAATTGGTAATGATTATGCTTTAGTAAATATGCAGCTTCAGCTTTAAAAATTTTAATATAAGGATTTTATTATATTGATATGTATCATAGAAGAAGGGCAAGTTCCTATTTCTTTAACTCATTCTACTAGAAATGGCATGGCAAAGGAGTAAAGGCAAGTAGGTAATTCAATCAGATATAACATGCTATAGAATCTGGTCATTTATTTTAGAGTACAAAGTCCATGCAGATTCTCCAAAAGGTCTCTGAAATTACACACAAAATTTGTGTTTCTATGTATGTGCATTTTCTGGGAAAAGAGTCATCAGATTCTCAAAGCAGTGTTATTTCTTTCTCCCTCTCTAATTCCACTTAACAAATAAAACATGCTTTACCGTGCATTATTTGCTTCCCTCCTTTTCTCCCAAACCGTATGAAACATATTTTGTGTACTCCCCTACCTCCATCCTAAACTCCCTTAGAAACTCTGCTTTTTGTATCAAAATAGATCACTGTCTTTGAAATACAACAATATATGCACAGTCTACTGTATAATAAAGAGCATGAACTTTCCAATACATACTTGTATTAATTCTCAGCACATCACTTATTCCCTGTGAGACATAGAGCAGACATAACCTCTTTGTAAGCCCAATTTCCCAGACTTTTAGATTAGCATCTACCCATAGTGTCTGTTGAAAGGAATTATATGAGATAGTGCATGTAAAATATGTTTATCAATTACTGCAAGTCATTAAAGTCTCTATTTCAAATGTCCCAAATTCTGATCATTCTATCTTTCCAGATCATTCTCTCAAATCCAATTACTATCTTAATAATACCTAACACTTCTTCACTCTTCACACTTCCTTATCTCCTTTAGGTCCCCTTTTCTTTGTATAACTAACTTAAATTTCATGGTCCCTTTATATACACATCTCAACTCCTTTGTCCTCTTCATCCTATTTCATAAAATTACAATCCTGATAAAATCCAACTCCCTACCTCTACCCCAGCAGCACCCATGCAGCTAAATAGGGCTAAAGGAAAACTCATAATCACACTGACTGATCTCATTTAAGCTCATGCTCACAAGTCTCAAGTAGGTCGTTAATGTTGCACTAGAAATCAAATTTAGGCCTAGACCACTTACCTGTATTATGTAAACCTCCACCTCCTCAAATTTTAATGCCAGTGTCCCATGCTCACTTTTAGCTGATGACTTTATTGCCCACTTCATTTCTTAAGTCCTATAACACTGCCTATCTTCTTGTTTGATTTATGATGTTTATTTTCCCAGCTAAGGCCAAAACTTCCACTTACAGATTCTGTTCCCTCTTAACTACTCAAGTTTATCATACTACCAATTTTAGTTTTTCTTTCCCTACTGGATTATCCCCAATAGCATACAAAAATGATCTTTCACTATACATTAAAGACAATACATATACATGTATATTAAAAATATATGTATATATTTTTAAGTAGGCTCCAGGTCCAACATGGGGCTAGAACTCAACAACCCCGAGATTGAGAGCTGTACGCTCTACAGATTGAGCCAGCCAGCCACCCCAAAACTAAAATATTTTAAAACCGTACCTCCCATATTTCTTTGCTCCCTTCAAAGAGTTGTCTATACTTACCACTGTCAATTTCTCTCTTTCACATTCTCTCTTGAACCCTTTTGAATCATGTTTTTGATCCGATCACTCCACTAAATCCCCTCGTCAAAGCCACCAATGACCTCCATGTTGCTAAATCCAATGGTTAAATCTCAGCCTTCATCTTACTTAACTGATCAGCAGCATTAGATACAGTGAAAAGACTCTGGCTTCCAAAGTATCACTTCTGGTTTTTCTTCCTCCTTGACTTCTTGTGTTTTGTTTATTCTTAACTTCTAAATTTTGGGGTGCCTTAGGACTCATCCTTGAATGTTTTCTCTTTCTTCACTTACTCTTTGATCTCATTTAGTCTCTTCAAACATCATTTAGGTGCTAATGATTCCTAAATGTCATTTTTCTCATCTGGACCACTTCCTTAAATCTCAACTAAATTTTTTCAACAACCTAATCACATCTACACTTCCATTTTTAACAGATATATAAGAATTAACGTACAAAAAACTTAATTACTGAGCTCCTCCCCACCTTGTCTATCCCATTTCAGTTAAATCACTCCATCCTTATAGATACTCAAGCAAAAAAACCCAGAACCAAACAACAAAGAACAGCCTAGAAGTGGTTTTACATTTTTATATCTATATAAAAGATAAATAAAAGTCTTTATAAGATATAAATCCTTTATCTTTATACATCTTTTTAAATCTTTACATTCTCCTCCTTTGTATCTTTTACATTCCACACCCAGTCTATGAGCTCTTCCTTCAAAATATACCCAGAATCCAACCACTTATTATTTTCACTGCTACCACCTAAACCTAAACCAACACCTTATCTCACCTAGATAAACGCACTATTTCAAATTCACAGCCAAGTGATATTTTAAAAATGGAAGTCAGATCTTGTCATTTCTCTGCTCAGAACCCGTCACTGACTCCTTAATTTGCTCATGTAAAACACCAAACATTCGCTATAAGGTTCTATGTTATCTGACTGTAACCATCCTCTCTTCTCCACTTCTGTCCACTCACTCTACGATTTATTAATCTCATTGCTGGTTCTTGAATTTTTGAGGAATCCTTCTATTCCAGGACATTTGTGTCAGCTGTTACTTTGTGTGGATCATCCCTCTCAATTCTTCCAATATTCTGTCTGTATCTATCACCTCCTTCAGTTTTTTGGCTCAAGTGCCATCTTCTCATTGAACCACAGCCTGACCACCACATGGAAAATTACAACCCACTGCAACTCTCCCCATCATCCTTACTCTGCCTTTTCTTTTCATAGCACTTTTCTTTTGTACTATAAAAACTACTTATTTTAAATCTGTCTCTCCCACCACCTGAATATGAGCTAATTACACAAGGGTTGAGATTTTTGTCCATTTTGTTCATTCTTGTTTCCTGAGTACCTAAAACAGTATCAGACACAATAAACACAACACATCATAGCTTTTCAAACAACACATAATAAAACTGACCTTTTGGTGAACTGTTATCTGATTGGGATGATTTGTTGTTTTCCTTTTCTTCACAGACGTAGGTATACTGCAATAGTCTTTTCTCAGCTCCTTTAGGAGTGAAAATTTTCTTTTCACTTTTTGGTGGTTCCAACAAACTCCTGTTTCCTGATGCTTGTTCTTGCTTGTCACGCAGTACTTTTTCTTTCATTCTTTGAAATATTTTTCCTGGTGATTCATAGTTTGTTTTATTTTTTAATCTATCCTTGTTGGGCTTTATAGCACTGATATCAAGAGAGCTGTTAGAGGTGGTAGCCTCTGCTAGCATGGTGGAATGAAATATATTTTTATTATTAAAATTTGTCATTTTTAGGAAATTATTCTTTTTATAGTCCTTCAATGTTAAAAAGGGGTTCTGATATTTTGCCAAATCTTTCACAGGAGTAAGTGTGCCTGCAGGAATGCTGTCAAAAAAGATTGCTTGCATGGGCATATTCCTTCTTGGAGAAGAGGTCTCTGAAGACAATTGAATTTCTGGGTGTTTCAAAGGTGTTGCAATCATCTTGATAAACAGTAGAAACAAATTTTCTCTAACAGATAGATAGGTCAGTTAAACACAATGTTCAGGGTAGTAGACCTTCAGCAGGGGCCCAGAGGAACCTGTAGTTTAATGTGAAATCAACCTTTATAATGCTTTACAAAAAAATTTATTTGCTTTCAATAATAATATTATTCTAATTAAAAGGTAAAATTGGTTCATAACAACACTGGATAATCTATAGCTCACAAATCTAAGGTTTTATGTTTTTGTTAAAGACTCATTTTATTATTATTTTAGATGAGCAGTTTGGTCTTTAAATTTACCTCTCTAGAAAAAACAGTATTCACCAAATCATCTACTTAGTAACTATAAAAATTGAATTTTGAGTATCTGATTTTTAACATACTTGAACCTCAAGTCCTAGAGGTTTCAATCTAATATTTGCTTCAAAAAGCATTAAATCACATTCACATATGGCACTATATTAGACTCTAAAAGATTAAATTTCACAATCACTTTTCCTTCTCAGCACTTATATTTTAAGGCAGCAGCTATAATGATACAACCTAATGAAAGCTGAAAGATTCATTCTATTTTTAGTTAAATAATTCCCAGTCGTGATTTTGTTATGCCGCTGAACATTTTAACTATGAGGTTTTAGTTGAAAAACCCTCAAATTAAAGTAAATTATATGATTTACTTATGATTATGATTTAAAAGAAATTAACACTATTTAGAATTTTTAGCAGAAATCATGTATTTGAGCATACATGGTCTTAGACTTGTTTTAGCTTGCTTTTATATATTTTACTTACCACACCTATAATTAAGATTCTAGGTGGTGAGCCATATAGTTGTATTTTGTAATACTTTGTAAATAAATAAAACGTTTCCACCCAAGATGCTTGGAACTTACTAGTTTCAACTTGCTGCATGTCTTTTGCTAAATTTATAACTATTCTAATCAGTCTTTGACATCATATAAACATAAAAAGTGTACCACAGAAAATACTAATATAGTCAGATCAAAGAAATCAAGTATCTTTAAGTAACTTGTGTGAGAAGTATGCAAGTTAAAAATTCAAACACAAATAGTATCTTATCCAATAATTTATAAGACAAAAAAAGGAAATTTTCCTTAATAATAAGAGCTGACAAAGAAGGCTATCTTGGCAATCTAGTCCTGTGACACAAAAACTACTGAATTCTTCCACAGAATGTTAATTCAGTAAATATATACCAATAATGCATAGATTAATGTGTTTGGCAATGTGCTAGTGATAGGAATCCTGTGCTGTTAAAGTACTCATTAGTGGTTCACTTTAAACTCTCAAGATCAAAAATGAATAAACTGGGACTGGGAGGTGGAGATGAGAAAAAAATGAGGGGAATTTTAAGTTAACTGGCATATACACTTGGAGGAGGGGAACGAACAAACAAACAGACAAAACCCCCCAGCACTGGGCATAATAAAGGAAGTGATTCAACTCAATTACTAGAAATAGCATTCAAAGTGACCAAACGAATCAATTTTAAGAAAATGATCAACACAGAAAAGGGCCAAAGGTGTGAAAGGCAATTAATAAAGCACACGAAAAGCCACTCAGTGAGTCAAATGACACTTCATTTTACTAATAAATGAAGAGATACAAATTTAAACAGTGGGACTTCTTGCTTATCAGATTGGAAAAGATCAATTTCAAAATATAGGTGTGTATGCTATTGACCAAGAAATTCCACTTCTAAATTTTTTTCTTACAGAAACTACATTAAGGATGCAAATATGAAAGTGGTAGTAACGGTCAATATTTATTGCATGTGGTCAGATACTACATAACCTTACAGCAATTCTGGAGAGTTTTGAAGATGGGGAAACTAAGGTACAGACAGGTAGTTAAATAACCTGCCCAAGGTCACACTGACCATGATTAAGAGCAGGATCTAAGTCTGAGTTCAAGGCCCAAGTTCCTAAACAAGCACTATACAGTTCACTGAAGTACTGGATAAATTATTACAAACAATTTAGATCTCCACCACTACGGGACGAAATTCTGCTACATCCATAGAGTTGAATTCTATTTATTCAGTAAAAAGATATATTCCCGTATATGTACTGACACAGAAAATAGCTAGGATATATTAAATTTTAAAAAAAGGAAAGAATAGAAGAGGACGTACAATCTCATTTCTGTAAAACACATGAGCATAAGCATAGGGAAAAAAGTCTGGAAGTGTACCAAATTGTGAATAGTGTTTAACTTTGAAGAGTAGGATGAAGAGGCCCACCATTTTCTAAATAATTTTATTAACATCTAGGTATGTTTGTAACCGATGTGTAATTAAACCAGAAGAAATCTTGAGCTCGATGGATCAACTGTTTCTACAGCACCGTGGATCTTAGGGTCCAAGGGCAGTGATGCACACAAACCACTCTTTACGTAAAGGGTTTTTTTTTGTTTTGGTTTTTTGTTATTATTATTTTTTTTTTTTACTATCAGTGATTTTAGAACAAAGGCTTAGAGCGTTCAACATCGAAACCAACCTGAACGATAGTAGACAAGCAACAACTATGCACGCAACGAATGAGCAGTTGTGAGACACCCCCCCCCCCAGGCAAAAAAATGTACAAAAGCCCACGAGGGGTGAAAACGCTGAGAGGCTGGGACTCTCAGCGTCAGAGGGGACCGGTGGCAGGAGGCGAGGGGGTCGGTGGAAGGAGTTCATACCTTGGGTGAAGAGCCTGACAGGGCTAGAAGGCAGCAGTCCGGGCTTGGCTTCGCGTGGGTTGGGCGATCCCAGGGCTCGCGCCTCCCACCCAAGTCGGCTCCACGCCCCGCAGCCGAGCCTCAGGTGACCCTCACTTCCTCCGCGAGGTTCCCCGACACCCATAACAGTTTGGGAATTCAAATTTGAAGAGCCCGCCCTCCAGCCAGCCCCTTATTGGCGCGCTCAGGAACTGCGTCACTGAGTGACTCGAAAAAACTGGGGGTGGCCCCTACCGCGCAGACAATGCTGTTTCCACAAGAGGAGGGTAACCCCCAAGCTGCCAAGAGTACCCACAGCGCCGCTGTAGTCTTCTGCAGAATCCGTTTCGTTTTCAGAGGTCGCGCGCCCCTACCGCGTTTCGCCGCTCCTCCCGTTATGCTCTGCGGCAGGAAGGCCTACGTCAGACGTCACTTGCGTTCTCCTGCGCTCCTGCGGTTTATTAAGTTTGGCCTTTCTCAGCTACCCTCCTTCGCTAGTAGTTTGAGAGCTGGTGGTGGTCTGTTACTTGTCTGAAGAAACAGCTTTCCGAGTGCTTTTGAGAGAGCTTTTAGTTTTCCCTGGCAGCCAGATATTTAAGAATGAGAAAGAAACGTTTTGTTCTTGAGAGCATAATAGTCTGAATGCAAAGTTATACTTGCAATGGCATGTTTAATTTGAGCTGTTTCCCCAAGAAGTGTGATGTTTTCTGAACCTGATTTTATCGAATCCCAAAAGTTTTAATCTTGACGACTCTGGGTTGCAAAGCAGTTTGTGACAATGCACTGAGACTGAGCCTTGCCTTAGATGGCACCCAGCGATGCTCTGCTCCAACCACCGCGGATTCTGGTGCGTCCTTCACCTCAGCGCTCTGGCAAGATGCATTCGCTAGCTGGAAGCATTGTGTAGCGCGCCCTGTTTCAGTCTTGGGGGCAGAGAAAGAGGTGCCAGAGGAGTAACAAATGTTTTCAGTTTAAACCCCTTCCAGCTCTGATCCAGCAACTTCTCTCCATTAACTCCATCCCCCTCCCCAACAAGACAGCACGGGACAGGAGAATTTATTTTATTCTTCATCCAGGAAGATTCCTCAGCATCCTAGGACCATATATCGCATTTTTCCGTTAACATTGGACTGCACTGGTTGTAATGGATTAATTGTTTAAAGTGACTTTTGCAATCCCCTCATCTAAATCCTGTTTTCACTAAATCTTGAGCACACCGAATATTCAGAGTCTGAAATATAAATTTAAAACATGCAAATGACTGCAAGTAAGGAAAAGAAAACAGTTGAGATGAGGAGATGAAAACAAATCTACATAGATAAAATGAAGTTTCTGTCTGTGCAGCATAATGAGAAAATGGCTGGACATGAGTTTGCACAAGATTTGTGGGAAAAGCTAGACTTAAGATATCTGTTAAGTGATATGTATGAAAGTGTATGAAATGCACATTGTGTGAGAGAGACTTCGAGGAGATAGGCATTCATATTCCAAAGCATCTGGAATAGAAATATGAGAAGTTTCTATGCCTTTTATGGAGATGGCCGTGGCTCACACATTCAGCCAGACTAGGAACCTTATTAAGGGTAGACACTCAGAAATATAGACATTAATTTTTTTTAAATATCACTCTCCATATTAGAAATAGCTAGTATATAGCATGCTCCAGGGTGAACAGCAACAGATAGAAGGATAACTAATGATTTTCCAAACAAAACTGGAGGAAACAGTTTATGGATAGCAAACTGTGATGAGAAGGCATACAGGCAAAGGGACAATGTTCATTTGTCCACGGGGACATCAACATACTGCCCTGGATGGGCCTTTCTTTAAATTTCAGTCAGCATCTGGATAATCTGTCCAGGCTTAAGTCTGTTACTCATGGTAACACATGCAGACCTCCTTAGGGTCCAAAGGACAGTCAAAGGAGGAAGAGAATGGAAGCCTCACACTGTGTAGGAGCTGCTGCCAAGGCATCTAGGTCTGCTTAGCCTGGAGGAATATTCCCAGGACAATGGTAAGTTCCAGCAGAGTACTAATTGACCATATAGCATTTTACATTTTGGGGAGAATCAGAAAAAAGGTGCTCTTTCTTCAAGGCTGATAGTTTTCAACCAAGGGTGATTTGCACCACCACCCCACCCCCCAGCGGGGCATTTAGCAATGTTTGGAGACATTTAAAGCATAAATGTCACAGCTGAGAGGGATGCCACTGGCATCTATTCAGTAGAGGACAGGAATGCTGCTAAACATCCTACAGTGTGCAGGACAGCCCTTCCAATACAAAGAATTAACCAATCTAAAATGTCAATAATGCCAAGGGTTAAGAAATCCTACATTTGTAAGATATAGCCCTGAAACAGGATTTTAGATTCTTTTCACTCTCTCAGTTGTGTTTCCCTTATGTAAGGTGTAACTATATAATTACTACTGCTGTGTCTGGGCCTAGAGGAGGGATGAGGATGCAGTCAAAAGGGAGGTTATCCAGGCTGTGTGAGGGGAGGACCCTTCAGAAGAAAAAACTGCCAGAGATTTCTGTATAATAGAGACATTACTACAAACATGTAAACACATTACAAGTTGTAATAAGTGCTCTAAAGATGACTAAGGTTAGATCCTGCAAGAAGAAATGGAGTTAGGAGTACCAGAGATTTACTGGGAGGTAAAGCCTGTGAGGGTCAAGGGAAAGGAAGAAGGATTGGGCCTGATAAACCTCTAGACTTTGATTCATACTTTGATACAGGATTGGGCAGAGGAAACCTAATATTGCAATGCAGATTTGACAAAGTATTGGCTAATACAACAGGACTTGGGGTAATCCATCAGAGGTGTCCTGGAGTAGGCAGAAATGGGTTGGTCCTGGAATACATAATGATGGAAACTTCCTGGGAAGAAGATGGCCTTGACTTAAAGGCTTAAAAAACATTTTTTTTAGGGGAGGCTGGCTGGCTCAGTCAGTAGAGCTTGTGACTCTTGATCTCAGGATTGTAAGTATAGGGCCCACATTAGATGTAGAAATTACTCAAAAATACAATCTTTTTCCTTAAGGATTTTATTTCTTTATTTGACACAGAGAGATCACAAGTAGGCAGAGAGGCAGGCAGAAAGAGAGTGGGAAACAGGCTCCCTGCTGAGCAGAGAGCCTGATGTGGGGCTGGATCCCAGGACCCTGAGATCATGACCTGGGCTGAAGGCAGAGGCTTAACCCACTGAGCCACCCAGGTGCCCTTAAAAATAAAATCTTAAAAAAGAACCCCATTTTTAAATTCAATTTTTTTGGGATTGAGATATAATTGTTGTATGACATTATGTTAGTGTCAGGTGTATGACATAATGATTTGATATATGTATATACTGCAGAATGATCACAATATGTCTAGTTAATATCCATTAGAACACAGTTATGATTTTTTTCTTGTCGTGATAACTTTTAAGATCTACTCTGTTAGCAACTTTCAAATATACAGTAAGTATTATTAACTATAGTCACCATACTATACATTACATCCTCAGGACTTATTTATTTTATAACTGGAAATTTGTGCCTTTTGATCACCTTCACCCATTTTACCCATTCCCACCTGCCTCTGGCAACTGCCAGTCTGTTCTCTGTATCAGTGAGTTGGATTTTACTTTGTTTTGTTTTTAGATTTCACATAAAAGTAAAATTATACAGTTTTTGGCTTTTTCTATCTGGCTTATTTCACTAAGCAAATGCCCTCAAGATCCATCCATGTTGTTGCAAATGGTAAGATTTTCTTCTTTTTTTATGGCCAAATAATATTATATTGTATATATATACCACTTCTCTTAGCATTAATTCTTAGTGGATGCTTAGATTGTTTCCATGTCTTGGCTATTGTTAATAATGCTGCAGTGAACATGGGGGTGCATATATCTTTTTGAGACAGTGATTTCCTTTCCTTCAGATATATACTCAACAGTAAAATCCAGGGTCATACAGTAGTTCTATTTTTAATTTTTGGAGCAATCTCTATACTATTGTTTTAAGCGACTATGCCAGTTTACAATCCTAACAACAATATACAAGTATTCCCCTTTCTCCACATCATTGCCAACACTTGTTATCTCTTGTCTTTTTGATGATAACCATTCTAACAGGTGTGAGGTGGTAGCTCATTATGGTCTTGATTTGTATTTCCCTGACAATTAGTGATTTTGAGTGTCTTTTCATGTACCTGTTGGCCATTTCATTGTCTTCTTTGGGAAAAATGTCTATTCAGTCCCTCTGCCATTTTTAAATCAGACTTTGGGGTTTTGTTTCATTTTGTTTTACTTTGCTTTGCTATTGAGTTGTATGAGTTCTTCATATATCTTGGATATTAATCCCTTATGAGATATATGATTTGCAAATATTTTCTCCCATTATGTAGGTTGCTTTTTCATTTTGTTGATGGTTTCCTTTGCTGTACAGAAACTTTTTAGTTTTATGTAGTCTTCCTTATTTATTTTTGCTTTTGTTGCCTTTGCTTTTGGTGTCAAATCCAAAAAACTAATCAGCAAGACTGATGTCAGCAAGCTTACCACCTATGTTTCCTTCTAGGTGTTTTATAGTTTCAAGTCTTCCATTCAATTCTTTAATCCATTTTGAATTAATTTTTATAATTTTGAATTAATTTTTTACTTGATTTTATGAGTAGATTGGTGGCCCAATTTTTTTTTCTCTTGCATGTAACTGTCAGTTTATTGAAGTCAAAGATTTAACAGATCCTGGTGGCAATGCAGTTGGAGGCTGTTTAGCTAACTGCACTCCTCATAGACCAGTGACACTTTTTAATGAATAGAGGTTTGAATTTCACACTTCATGGCTGCCATAGAAGGACAATTAAAAGGTTATAAAAGGTAGAATTTATTTGCAGTGGCTTTTGTCTTTTTGTGCAACCCACAATAAGGTATGTGTTTTATATTGTACCGAATAAATGCATAAATACATGTAACTAAAGCAAGAGTTTTTCAGACATTACTTATCCTTAATGTATGCAATAATACTGATATTTTCCTCTTCTATTTCCTGTTTTTTAATGCTTGTGTATAACTGTAGGACAGTGTGAATATTTTCATGTTTCTGCATAGTTAACATATTTTTTTCTTTTTAAAAAATTGTGATGAAATTCACATAACTTAAAATCAACCATTTAAAAGTATACACTCCAGTGGCATTTAGTACACTCACAATGTTGTGCAAGAACTGCCTTGAAAAAATCTTCATCACCCCAAAAGTAAACCCCATACCTGTTAAACAGTTATTCTCTATTCTCCTTACCCCACAGTCCTT